TATATATATATATATTAATCGCACTATTTTGCTTATACGTGGGTTGAGCAGTGCGTGATGAGTAGAGCAATGAAGGGCTAACAAAAAGTAAAGAAACCCGAAAAGCAATTATCGGTTTGTTTGTCATGGCTGAATAAAACAGGAAATGAATAACTTACCTAACTTGGCGATACCTACAAAGCAACTAGAGTTCATTGGGCTTTCTCTTTTAAAAGGAATATCAAAACACGATTTATTATTATTATTACCATGATTGATAAAGTGAAAATAAATATAAATAAAATTGGATGTCAATCGTTTCCATAGATGCACGTAACATGATAAAATTCACCCGCCAAGAATCGTTTTGTCGCAATGTGTAAGTATATAATGCGCAGTACTTGTCGTTCTTAAGGTTGTACTCTTAGTGCATTGTTATATCGGTAGGAGCAGTCGTTTCCAGACTCCCATTCACCTACACAATACGATCATAAACTAGTATGGATGTCAGTACCTTTGTTAAGTCGCAAATATTCGCACATTAATGATGATACAGCGTTTTTTGTTGCGAACCGCATCGCTAAATGTGCCGATACCAATTTTTCTTGTTAGACAGGATTCTGTAGAACTCAGCTAGAAGACCAAGTTAATTTCTGTTTAATAAAAGTTCAGCAGATCCAATTAGATTTTTTGTTACTTATCCTCTTTTTTCGTTACCTTGCCTCAACTACAGATTGCCGATATAATTCCGACTGAAAGCAATAATTGTCAAACGACAGTAACCAGTGCCCATTTGTCTTTTGCAGATTATGTTCTCAGAAACTTTCTGCAAACAAAATTTGCAAGCAAATTCGCAGCAACAGCTGCCGAGAATATAAGGTTTAAGTAATAAAACAGTTATTTTGATAATTTTTATCATGGGTCCGTTAACAACAGTGACGTATAAGCACCTACAAGCGATTGTCTTGAGACCCGTCAGGACAGAACCGGAATAAAATGCATATTTATCCCAATTGGATACTTGTGCAACATTATTACATATAAGCATAGAAGTAGGGTTACTGATTAGCATTATTCTTCCTTTCTCACTATGCACATCCGGTTTGTGTTGCTGAGAGTACTTTCAGTAGTGCGTAAGCAGTTGCTGGTGATTATTACTGACAGTTGATCGTGAATACTAAATTTTTGCAGCGCTTCTTCCTAACTGACTATGACAGTATCATTTGTCCACATAATTAGCTCTATATAAAACCTGAACTGTGACTTTGATGCACCAATAAACCAATAAGCACACAGGTGTGGAAAGACCCCCTGAAGCCAAATCCAAATATCACTGATGTAATTCATATTTCCTCCAACCTCATTAAATTGCCTACTATTATTAAAAAACAGACGCATCAAAGTGCTTGAGTACTTAGAATACACGTTTGTGTTCTTATCACCTTACAGCTGTCCTTCACGTTTATCAGTAAAAACACGTTATGTCAATGGTCAAAACACGGCTTCCAACAAAAAAATAACATAGGAAGGATGACGCATTATGTATACAGTCTAGCGAAACGTCACACTCAGTATTGAACTCGTTCAAGGCTTCGACCGTACTTGCAACGTAAGATCCAACGGCTCAGCGTGACGATATCGTCATCGAACAACTACAGTACGACGTTCTACAGCTATGTCGGCAAGTCAGTGACAATAGAGAAACAAAGACATCGCATCAAGTAAATATCGTGTACAGCAGACATATCGCTGTTTCTCTGGACGACTCGCACCCAAAAAAGCTCGATTACCACAACGAAGCACTTCCCTGTCATTGCCTACCATGCTTCCTATGTACTATATCCTGTCGTGTTATTGGGCCCCCCCCTCTTTGCCTTTTCAATTTCGCAATCAACCTGTGAGTTCATTCTTTATCTCAATAGGTTTCTGTGCATATCGTGCAATAACGAACGTTTCATTTGTAGCAGATGACGAATGTCGCAAATGTCTCAGAAGAAGGTTGAGTATGTTTGCGACATTGCTCCGGAACCTAATATTTAACAAGGATAAAAGTAGCGCCTGCGCCCGTGGGCCGGTATCGATTTCGAGAACACTTAACAATGACCCTACTCGTCTCCTTTAACGGGACTGTGTTTAGTCCAGTTTAGGCGTGTATATGCTTAGACCTATGGCAAAAACAGGATGTCCCAAACATATAACATCGGTACGATCATTTTTACTAAACGAAATTCATTCGAGAAGTGATGATTTTTTTTTTTAAATTCTATGATATGGTGTGTGCTTTGCGATGCTTTTAAAAAATCTCGTTGATGGGTAGAATTTGAATACGTAGGTGTCTACATCTACGAATTTTTCACGTACCGATCTCCCAATTAAACCGTTGTATTATGAAAGATCACAATAAATACTTCTTCTCAGTTACTCATAAAGCATTTCTGTCACCCGAACATAAACTCATATGAGAGTGAATAAGCCATTGAGACAATGGACACAGATTTACGCACGGATTATGACATCGTTGTAGTGCATTGGCTAACAACCCTGATTTTGTCTAATCAAGTCATAATTAGGGAGAAAAAGCTTTAGTCAATAAAAATAAAAACAAAAAATTTGCTTGAGTAAATCAAATATCAATCGCATCATATTTTATAGGTTACGAAGCCTTGAAAAAGGAAAGACAATTCAAATGTGGTGCTTAAAGACGGCTTGACTTATTGCTTAGGAGCAAAATCAAGGATAATTTTCGTAATCGTGAATTTCGATAATGTATTATTCATACTTTCAGTTTAAATTTACGACAACGTTTTGGATCATATTCAAAACTCTTTATCCTAAACTTTGTATCCACATAATGAGTATGCTTGCTATCACCATAGCACATAATTACATAATTAATTGACGGGAAAATATAGGACTAATACTAGCCCGTTCTGAAAGCCGTTACCATTCAACAGTGCGGAAAAATGTATATTTAGACAATGCGATCTGAGTGTCTAATATATTTTTCTGAATGCATTGCCATAGTAACTGTGAACATGCAGCCAGTCGGTGTAAATTTTAGCGTTTCCAAATTATTATTGTAGCATATAACTATCATGCCATTTTATTAGTCTGTTGTAGGAATTCCGGATAAGGCCAGCGAGACCCACTTCTGCTGGATCTTTAAGTGGAAACAACTTTTTAATGCTAACCCGGAAAAAAATTATTTCGAAGACTTGTTTATACAATCAGAATAGCTGAAAGGTTTAAAGGAAAAACAAGTCCATGCTCTATAATCAAACCCGTAATCAACTTTGCTAAAAACAGAGACCTCTAGCTTTGTTTATTATTATTATAACTGTAAAATTTAATCGTGCTATACCATAATACATTTCCTATTAAAGATTGGATATATTAGAGTGTCTTATGAAATTATGATAATTTGAAGCTCATTATATGCATATACATTCTCGACTCTCTGCTAATGGCCATTGTTTAAGCGGCTATACGAATTGGCCAATCCGGTTTGGTCATTACTGTTATATTACAATTAACAAACCGTTTACTAGCAATGACTAACGTTAGAAACGTTTGCAACTTGTCTACTTAACATAATAAACGACATGCGTTCCTCAGCCGTTGTCTAAAATTTGCGTCTAGAAACAGTGGTTTAAAATAACTGTTGTGTTATTAGGCCGTCAGACAAATCGAGCGTTACTCAAAGTTAAATTTTTTAATGATTAAAAAATAATTCAGAAATCAAACTGAGTAAAAACCATCTGAGTTAAAGACCAAAGTGTACTTGCACCCATGTTTTCCATTTAACCATCTATTTGGCGCCGGAAAATGTATTGGTACGAGTAATTACTAATGTGATGGCCAGTGTCTAGCTTTCGCTTTATTGTTATTGTCTATAGTAACATGTGTGTTGATTGAAGAGCTTTGGTGAAAGTCGAATCAAACGTCTTGTATGTTTATTCGAACCGCGCCGCATTCATCATTGTCTACCACCACATGCTGATACTCGATTAACTGCTATTCCATAGCCAGTAGACTAAACATTTCCCGCATGCTGATATCCCTAGTTCCGCTATCGTTTGTCAGACACTAAATCGACTACACCACATGTCCAACTGACCAGTGCTCAACGCAATAAAAAATCAAGCTCGCCCTAATCAGTAATAACTTCTTCCGGGACCAGGTTCATCTGCGTTGTTTGCATGTCTATATCAAGTTTAATCACCTTATCTTTACTTTCTTTATTGCCCCAATATGTCTTTAGTTAAATTCGACTGCACTAGTAATTTCGCTATCCTTGATCATTCCAGTTTACATGTGTGCGCTTGATAAAGAGAGATTCTTGCTTTTCGATAGCCGGTGCGAATATAAATGCAAAATGTATTTTACTTGAAATAAAAGCAACGCTGAAACGAACAAATGCAAAATATTTAGGGCAAATAGACTGGAGCAGAAGAGTGGTAGTGGCATAATGATCTCCTAATACCGCCACTGAAGTTTATGGTCGACGAAGGAATCGTCCTTGGGTGTTCGATGCCGCTACTCATAAAGGCAAGAAGGATCCAATGTGGGACCGTACGGCTAAAACAACAATTTAGCTGTAGCTATCTAAAATGGAATCCGCTTTTTTCGTCAGTTTTACCGCGCAAACTAGGCATAGTTTATATGCCTTGTGGTTTGTGCGTGCGAAACATGTCCTCACGCAACTTTTGATATTCTTCTAAATGTAGAAATTAGTGGCAAACAAGAAACGCCACTGCCCACTGGGAAACAAAATCACACCGATCCTGTTATATAATTTAGCGTTTGAGTAGAACAAGGAAACTTTTTAATCAGTTCCACTACGCAAAGCCGTTTAGTTATCCCAATTTGCCAGTTGTGTCATCTATGATATAGATCTTGATGTTGATATGGGTGTTTTTTTCTATAAACATGACAGTAAAATATTTCATTTTTGCTTTTTTTCGTTTCGCAGAAAATAAATACACATGTTTACTATATATAATACTGCTGTGCCCAGTCACTGACCATAATTGCAATATGAGTCTTGCTCACTAAATCTATCAAAATTTTCTAGAGTTAACTCCCGCACATTTCATGTTACGGTTTGCCAAATCGCGCGGTACAGTTTAGGCCGATTGTACCAAAAAACAGCACGGTTTTTTTTCAATGAGATGTAAGAGCGCAGATGTGCCGTAAACGTTAACGTTAATGTAAATCTCATAAACAACAACTGCTAGGCAAGTCACAGAAAAGGTTAACAAACGGTGAAATTATGAGTGTTTCTTTCCCGAAACAAAATCGGTCTGAAAACTGAAGGATAATTACGGAGTTGCACATTGCATACCATAGCAAATCAAATGTACAAAATAAAGACTACAGTGCTTTGTCGTGTACCAATAGTAAATAATGTTAGGTGTATTCCCAACCATAAGTTCAGTTGGGAATAGTTGTTGCTACATCCAAAACATATAGACGTTTTAGCTATTTTGAACTCCTTTAAGAGGTTATACTGTGTCTTCAGTTGTATTTAGCAACATATTTCAACTTTGGCATGGCATAACAATTTTATGGGAATATCGATTGTCACCAAGGTCATTTGTCACTAGTAATGATGGATTGCGTTCACGGACAATTAAGTCGATGAATATTCAGTTTAATCAGGTCAACTGGTTTCTCATTTGTTGCATATTTAAATACAGTATCAGTATCATCGTAGTTTGCTAACTATAATGTATAGCTCACCTAGCCTTCAGGGCAATGTTGTCCGCGCTGAGCTCTCTGGCCTTGCGCTGTTCCGTCACGGACTCGACGGCCATTGAAGTTTGACGACCATCCCAACGCAGCACTATCACGCTCCCTCTTGGCACTCTGAAAGCAAAAAAATGAAAAAAAATACCAGCAGCAAAAATATAGTTAAATAAAGCACTTTGGTCATTAACTACATACATTACACACTATAATCAAGTTAAGGGTTTATTAGTTAATTAAAAACCAAGAAAACTTACTGGTTCTAACAGCGTGTCAAAGAAAGAATCTATCCTTTCAAGTAATTATGCTGGAGTGACTCATTCGTGCAGTCTGAGCACAATTATGTGTTCTGAGTGCCTCAGGTGTATGCTAGTTGAAATCGATCGAGGGATCGACACGTTACCTCTAAACGTATTTCGAGTCACATACGAAAAGGTGACACGTCGTATATATTTTAATATATGAAAACGCTACGAGCTCACCCGCGCACACGTGAACAAACAACACCACTTCTTCTGTACGCTGTGATAACGTTTTTTTTTATGGTATATTAATATTTTGGCACAGTAGTGCTCTAAATACCTTAGTACAATCGTGTTATATAAAAAATATTGTATTTATGACTATGCTAATCATAAATTATTTTTATCAACTAATGGACGACAACACCAACGTGGTTTGTCGAAGTCGCATATACACAGACACACCTATCTGCTTACTGGACTATTTCGTGGGTTGTCTTCCTGTTGAGCCTCGCTAAACGCAATATCGGAACAGTTCCTAGCTATCGGTATAGGTTCATATCTGATTTATATCTGTGACTAAGATCATCAGCATGCACAACAAAAGCAGGAGAATCACAAACACAGTTGCGAGTCAGATCTATTTTTGGTATCACAAATCCCTTCGAATTGCGTACCGTGAACGTCAAGGCTGTACCGACTTGACAAATACTGGTTGTCGGTGTGGATTCACTGCAGCGGACATTGTTGTAATACAACAAGAAAGAACCGTTTTCCTTTTTGGAGACGGAGAAAATATTAGGCCAACAACCGTGCTTACATATAATACACCTGATATACGTCTCTGCTTATTTTATGTGATTATATCACACACTCGATACTGTGTAAGTTTGACTATTGCAATATATAGGGTTATGGACAAAAAATACAAAGACTATTATGATTACCGTCACCATGTAATCATAGTAAGTCGAATAGTTAGACGCGTTAGAGACCAAATTAACTGACGTCGATCATATATGATCGGTAATTCTCCAACCGCCATCACTCCATGTATAGATAGACGACACTCGAACCCACGCTAAAGATTCAGGTGTCATTGTTGCCATTTATAACATATATTATCGAATTAATAAAACTAGGTAGCCGATTTGAAATACATTTTTATACCTATTAAATGCTCTGCATATTTGGGTCACCGCCCTCTTTTAGGTATTCAGTACAAATATAAACAATATTCCATAATTTAGCAATGCCTTTTCCTTATCGCAATCCACTTTTTTATTGAGCAAATCCAGAGAACTCATAGATCTCGAGTCAAAATTTTTGGTTTCCAGCATTTTAGCGAACACCACCAGCTAAAGTGGACACGCATAATAAACTTGCAACGCCTACCATACACTGTAAAGCTCTTTATACGAAGCTTGGTATTTATATAGATTTAAGACCAAACAGTTGATTATCAACTTTCTATATTATAATGTGAATGTTAACAAGCTTAACATGGTGACATTTTGGATCAGAGGAAAGTAATATAGAAATTAATGCTGTAACACAACGGCCCCGTAGCACGTAGAAAATACCTGTCGAAACGCCTTCAATTTTGTAAGAGTAGGTTCAATAACAATTTATTGTCGTTAACAAGCGTAAAGTTTCACCGGCTATTGTTTTCTTATTATTATAATATTTATTTCCAATATTCCTATCACAAATTGCCGTTACTAACGAACTCCGAAATGACATTATTTTTTACTTATTTACAAAATACTTTGTGAATACGATACCCTTGACGACAGAGGCGTGCCCTCCATAACGATACTCAAAACAAGAATCTTAGATATACTAACCTTTGGACCAAGCGAATCTACTAAGGGTCAACAATCTGTAAGTATTCATCGTATCGTCGTGAAATCTAGATAGACAGGATATTTTCACAGCAATTGACATATTCCCATCATGCATAACCAAGCTTGAATGATATATCTGCATATATCGAGGATCCTTTGTGATAATTTTACCGTTCACGCAGTGATGAATTAAAATTTACGAGAATTTCGAGGGAACTGTCTCTCAACCGTGAACTGACAAACCGTGCAGATTGCTTTTACCTTCGTAGAGTTTTGATTCACATCTAGGGCAAAAAACAGCGCTTGCACTACGCGCATATGACACGCACTTGCGTATCGCTTACGCCGAACACCCACAATACGTCCAGAGAACGATAAAATACCCCAAGCCTCGCCACTTTATAGGTGACAAGTGCTCTACAAACAAAGCTATCCATCAAAAACTACCAGTGTACGCGTACTCAAACATAGTTAACGTTCGTTGTAACGATCTTTAATAAACAGATGTACACAAACAAATATAAGCGTAGAAGATTCATTCTAATACATACAATTGTTTACCATAGAAAGCTGCGATCACAACCAGCTCAGAAAGTGTTGCCTATGGCCATCAACGGTTTCATCATGTTCCGTCCAATTCTGACGCTACAAGCGGCCATTCGCACTATGAAAAAATGCCTCTATTACTGTCCAATCCGAATCAATAAAAATCTGTTTGTATTTCGTAATCATAGCCTATAATAGACACGCCAAAAAAAGTTGGTAACTCAAAGATCTCTTAGTAACTACCCACCGGTGGGCAATCGACTAACTAGTAACTAAGGTGAAAATACTTCTTCGTTAGTTAATTGGTGGACTAGCTGAGAGCAGATCAATTCTACCGATGGTGGTTGTGGTAATATTTCGTGCATGTGTTTCCATGTGATGCCTGCTTCCTACACATGCGCCCATTTTCATAAGCGTTTATACACGAGACGTTGGTCCGCTAGAACTTCTTCCTCAGATTTCACATTGGAACAGGCTGTCGAACAACAGTTGCTGTGGGTCAATGTTGTGACAACACGAATGAAAAAGGAAGCACCTCCGACGGAAAAAATTTAACACCTTTGTTAAAAAAGGATATTGATTAGATCGCCAGATAAAGCAATTGCAGTATTTTTAAGTGGTTAACGTGTCTTTTCAATCACAGATATGTATTGCTAAACAAGAATAATGAAAACGCTTTCCCCAGTTTCGTTTGTTTGAGTTGAGCTCATCCTTTGTTTTGTTAAATCACCATAAAGACATATTTGAAACAAACTATCATAAAGATGATCGAAACCCCACACTCGTGGCGACTATTCCTCTAAACAGAATATAATAATGAAGGAAATGAGGTGTTTGCGTAGCAATTGAAGCATGAAAAACAACAATTGACTTTCTATATACATTGTAAGAAGATTCTTAATGTACAGCTGGTCAGATTTATTTAAAAGGCAAATCTATGGGCAATTTGATAGCTAACAAACAACAAAATCAAGGGACTGCCCTAGTAGTATAAAATCGTTCCTTTTACTGAGATACTAACTGCTAGCAGACGCATATATTTATATTGGCTACTTATTTTAACACCCCCATACATCACGCAACACAGTACTTCACCTCACTTTTCTTCTACTATATCCGTGCATTCTCTGATGGTTCATGGATTGTTGTAGGTGAAAATGACACCGGAACCAAGTAGCCTGTTTCAGTAAAAGTAATGACCTTATAAGCCATTGCTGAAAAAGAATACCAAAAGAGTGAACAAGTCTGCGAGATCGTATTAGGTCGGCTAGCTTTGTCACAGCAAAAGCCCTTATTTGATGAGTAACACGAGTACCGCTGTAAGCGTTATGACTGTCAATCGCCCGGCGGAGGCGCGGGCATCAACTCTATACTGAGTTCTATGACAAGGTCGCAACGATAAAGATCTAATGCAATCCGGCTACATAAATACATGTTGTCGCTGCTAGTGGCTATCGCTGGTCCGTTGGGCGTCGAATAAGCGAACGCCTGCAACGCAACGGTTTCCCCTATATGACTAACAAAATCATAGACAGACATGCGGTTATCGCTGATGCCGCTGGCTTAACATCAGCCACAGCAACCTCAACACAAAATGAGGCATAACGCCTGCTACAATGATAGCAACTGCAGAAAAAGTAATCGGGCCAGTTAAAACGACACACAGCTGGACAATAATAGCTATACAGATATGTATACACGTATACAAGCAAATGTTTATAAAATGCGTCGATCGATTGTGAGCTAGTCATTGAGGTACAGAAAACCATGCGAATGAACAATATGCTCGTATTATGGAGAGTCGTCAAAATTCAAACGAATGAAAAAGAGCAAGCCTAGTTAGTGCTTTGATTTTATGCCAATATAAGTACATATTGTAATTCTCTGCCGGGTAAAAAGAGGTAATACTTGAAGCAAATTTTACCGCCAGCAATATTATGTAGAAAAGGGCATTAGAAGTTGTCAGGTAGAACTGTCAGTAGCACTGTTACAGCAAGCGCTCACAATGATAAACAAAATTTTATCTAAAATAGCACTACTTTGCAGCGAGGTGCTACGGATTAACATTAAATTGAGTTGATCACCGCACTATTAAACGCTTGCCCTTTTCGAGCTCCTTGCCCCAGCATATAAAACGCTTAAATCTGTTACAGAGCGAGAACAACTGAGATTTAACTAAGAAAAGCTCTGTTGACACAAGGAACAAAAACAATGAAACAGCAATCCGAGCAATGCAATAAACTGCACATGCGAGGATTCGATGTACTGCGCATACAGATGAACGTGGTCCGTTAAACTCTGTAACAACATGTATCAGAGAAATAAGTTTGCATGACAATCCTTAATCTCCTAAGGTAAAATTCAGTTTTTTTTTAGTGAAAGCAAGCAAGGGATTGCTTCTTCTTTGTCAGGCCTTGTCCACCACAATGTCTCATCGAATAAAGATGCACTTTACATTTCTATTCAAGTTTCGCCGTTGTCGTACCCTTATCGTAACCCTAAACCCCTAGATTTGGACGTCGGGCGACTTAACGACCACTACAGCTGCTACGATGAATATCCACCAATGGTAGAAGGGCAGAACGTTCCATTTATCTGTGCTGCCCTGAACGGCATGCTTCCCGTGTTATCAATTAGTTCATGCCGTCTTGAAACAGCACAAGAGCCATCGCCGCTTTGTTTTCCTCCACACCTCCAATCAGCTGCCTCCTGCCAATATCACCGTTTATACTTGATAACGCCAAGATCAATAGCACTCGGATCCTGTCTCGTTCGAACTAACTAAGAAACGACGAACCTACCGAGGGGCTTGCGTGCTGCTCCTGGTCGGACGGATCGTTGCAAATCGTTGCGTCGCTCTGCACTCAATATAACTTAACACTGGTTGTAGAATTCGACTTTCAGAGTAACTCAAAGGGGCGTCGGCATGTCGTCGATGGTACAACAGGCGTCTGATGCGCAACAGATACACAAGCACACCGAAAGGCTCATTCGCATACAGGAAGTACGAAACACAATACGCGATACAGCATTTGATCTCGGCACTGTTGCCGATATTAGTTGTATCTTTTTGCACCTGCAAAAATCGAACAAGACGTTTGTAGCCGAGGGGAATAAGTGCAAGACTCTGTTTAAATTCTCGCACAAATTCACGAGTCACGTCAACTGCTCCTGCTGGCGTTCTCGCCGCTATTGTTTCTGTCGTTTTCGGTCACATATCTGAACAGACGGGCACACGTCTCGTAGATTGTTTAGCCGGTTTCAGCTCCGTGGCACACTGCGGCAAATGTCGGCCCCAGGCGCAGTCTCTAATAATGAATGCTATAGCTACATTATTGAAAAAGGCAATTATTTCGCTGACAGCCACCACACGAGAAAGACCGCCACAGACAGCTGCTGCTGCTGCTATCGAAGCAAAAGGCCAACGCCAACAACAGCAGGAACAGCTGTGGTGGTCTGCCACAGTAGCAAACGTTAGTCTGTCTCAGCACGACGAGGAATAGCAAAACGGCACCAGTCACGACTTTGTTGGCTGCGGCTGCTACAGTCAGCGTGTTATCGCTGCTGCCCGGCCGCCGCTGCTGCCCGGCCGCCGCTGCTGCCCGGCCGCCGCTGGTGCGAACTCGGTCAGTCAACGACTGCCTGAACTATCCGTTTCCTCCGGTTATATTATCGTGGCCGTTCGATGCTGTGGCATCCGATTCCTACGACGATACCACCTTCACAAGCGGCAGCGCGAACTAAACCGTAGCAGTTACCAGCCAAGCAGAAGGCTCCATTACACACATCACATCCAGCTGCAACTGAATGGGGCCACCAATGGCGCTCATCAGCAACAGCGGCAGCAATAATATGATGCCGTTGATGATGATGATAACAATAAGCAACACAGCATTCGTCAGCCATCGCAGTAATGACTCCGGTCAGGCCTCCACCCCCACCACTACGGATTACCGCTACACAATGGCCCCAATATTACCAACAGCAACTGCAGCACCACAGTCAGCGATGGATGCAACGGTGACCCTCACAACACTACTCAACAATGGGACGAATCAACTAGGAAAGAAGGCAAAAGGACATGGCTGGCTCACTCACCTACGAACTGCTCGTTACTGCAGTGGCCAGACTCTCATGGGGTTCAACGCATGTTGACAGCTGCCGCCGCTACCGTCGATTGCTGCTAGTTGTTAGCAGTACGACAGGATCAAGAGTCTAGCCACAAGCGTTAGACTGGTAGCGAAAGGCCGAAGAGATACGGTTAGGCAGATCGAAGAATACAACAAGATATGGAGCATAAAAGAGGACGGAACTTTTTTTACTGTTATCACTTTGCCCTTGTAACCAAAACTAATTGAAATAAAAAACGAGTCACAGTTTTTTAGTTCGTTGGTTGGCCATATGCTGGCCAGTTTCGAGGTCTGTACTCAAGAACAATTGCCCAATGGCCTCCCATCAACGGGGCTGATTTCTGCCTGTTCCACAGCGGCAGGGGGCCCACAATGTCAGACGGGCTATCAGGATGGAGAACCCTTTAGTGCCGCTCGTTGCTGTTTGTCAGTGTCCAGACGACAATGAACGATACAAGGTTGAGAAAGGAGCGAACTGCCGCAACAGGGCGTCGTGCGTGTCCAACTACGACTCAGCGCTAATAGCTCAAACAGCAACAACAGAGGAAAAGGCAGGCCAAAGTTGGACCTGAACGACGTAAAACACTGACACACAAATATACATTTACACCGACCGAATGAAGAGAAACTCACCTTTGAGAGGCTCAGGCATCTATGCGCTATATAACAGAATCAGGTCACAAGTAAAGTAGATCTAACGACGGCACGAAGAGCCTTTGTCTTAATGCACACACACGCATTCACAGAGACAAAAACGCGCCTATCAAATTTTATTGCGTGATAGGCCACGGCAGCTGAATTGACATCGAGATATCCCAGACACCAGCAAAATCAACACTGAACTTGCATGTCCTGTATTTCTGCGTACTGCCTTCCACTAAGGGGCTACCTGGAGAACGTACCCACCTAAAACAAAACAATAACAAGAAGACGGTCACACATCACCAACTGATGAAGTGAGCTGGAGGAGCGAGGGATAACACCGAAATCGTTTACAGGATACACGCGATTATACGCTCAATTCGGTATTGACATTTGGGCGTACGAAACGTCATAGTAGAAAACGTATGCGATCATGGTTTTGTCAAAGAGAAATAGCGTTTAAACCTAGCTATTTCATAACGAGGTCTTTGTTGTTCGTTATGTTAATTAATATCAATAGCGTATATTCACACACGGTCAGGGAGTTGAGGTCGGCACGTCCAGTTAAGAAGAGTTAAACGAAAACCGAATGATGCTGAGTAGCACCTGTCTGGGATTTCGAAACAGGGTGTCGGTAAAAATGGCGGCCTGCAGAGTAATGTCTTCTGTCGCTAGTATGGTGTTCTCTGTATGAATTAACGTAAATAAAAAAAGATTATTATAAATTTTAGCACCCGTTAAGGGTTTTCTTGTAGTTATTGTTAACAATGTCGTGATAAAGCCGTGCAGTTTTTCTTTGCGTGAACTCATGTAGAACAGTTGTTGTTGTTGTTAATATATGATTAATATACCGGTTACTGGAACCAGTGGCGGGGGCAAATTATGTGTCTAGCCTATTTTTAATTATTTACTCGAGTTGAAATTCAGGTGAACAGTGAATGGACCAAAGTCTGTCTGACAGGTGAGTGCCGTTAGTGTTACACGCCATTGATGAATATCATCTGATGAAACCGCAGACCTTCACACACACGTTCTTTGGATACTAAGTTACCCAGCACAAATAGCTTCCAAAACGATTCTTGATATAACGATTTTATGTACGAAATTTAAACGCACTCAGCCTGTCAACGCCTTAAAATGAGCCGCTGACCCTTTTCTCTTGAGACGGACAACTTCCATTCCTAGAAAACTGAGCGCATTAAGTTATAGCTGTTGTTGGATTTACACTGAGAATATGAATCGTGTACAATTAAAGGATCTTAACGAGCATCAGGTTTGCTGCATATCCTAGAAGAAACTAGGCTCTATTTGGTGTTTCTAATTTTTCATCATAATTCAAATAGATATTATATATATTTTTTAAATCCTATGTAATTTTAGTCACAGACTGGTAACAGTTTGGCCAAAAATAAATATGAAATAACATAGTTTAATAAGACACTACTTAAATATATTTATCGTAGGGTACAAATATGTATATTTGGATAAACGAATGTCTTTACTGGAAACGAACACCTGCTCAATTGCGAATAGATTTAGGTTTTATAGCTCCTTGAACTAGAGTGTGTTACATATCTTTAGGTTATAGGCGTCAGTGAGTACTTTAAAGATGAATTTGAAATTTGAGCAGAGTGTAATATTCACAAGAAAAAATGTGCCATTTATTGAGTGACGTGCGATATTACAGGCGTTTGTGCAGTTCATCATTAACTGAGCTGTGCTTTCGACACCTTTTAAAACGTGGAACTCAACTATGGAGTTTTTATTTATTTGGCATTTTCAATTAGTCGTTAAAAGAGGTCGTTTACAAAGTGAGGAAGCTGTTTCTTAGAACGATTTTTTTAGAAGTTGTTTTTTTCATATGTCTGCAATGTACTATTGTATGATACCTACATAAAACGAAGATTTTTATTCGAAAACGACAAATTAGTCAGGAGTGGACTTAAGATTACATAAAGATACTGTTACGACTTTTTCTTTTAAAAACGTTACAGTAATCATTTACCAAGTCATATTCTGTTTGAGTTAATGACTGTTTGAAAATTCATTATTAGCGATACTCGTAGCGAATTCACAACCTGTATTCGACTGGAAATCAGATTCCGTTGTGCCACATGCTAAAGGTCTGCTGTTGTCAAGCCAATAAAATAGTATTTGAATATTCTAGAGATTTCAGCAATGGCAGAACTAAACGGTTCCTATTTTCTTTTTTAATAAGGAATACGATTATGGGATTTTCTTGACAATATGACTATGACCGGCTTATTACCTGCAACGCGGTTTATGCTAATAGAATACATTGCAATATTTCTAAATTCTACCTCAAAATGTTTCAAGTGTTCTATCGATGGTATTGTTTTAGCTTCAATTACAGCAAGTATAACCATCAGTTCCGTGATGGCCACTAGAAAATGGCAAAATTGTCAAATAGAGTTGATTCTGAACGAACGAAAGATGGCGTCTACGAAAAAGCTGTAAATACAGCATTTTTACGCTCAGATCGATTTAATAAGAACTACTGAAATTTTTAGATTGATCTCTCTCATTTCAAGAGTAACTTCGTATGATTTAAGCGCCTTTGCTCCATACGCAACCTTTAACGCACCTTTATAGTATTTACAGCTGCAGTCTGTTGGCACGTCTACCGAATGAACCGTACGGTTAAGAGTGATTCTCGTTCTTGCTAACTATTTTCGTCATTATTACCACCCTAGGCGAATCTGAATAAAACGACCTTTATGCTCACGTTCATCATTGTTTTCTTCTATGATACCAACGGACTTCAAGTAGAAGTTGATCATTAATCCAAATGCCAAGGGCCTTTTGTTGGACAGAGCATGTACAGCCTGCTTGTTTATTAATCTAGGCTAATGTTATAATAAGACCTCTATAGTTATAGACAGACCATGTATCTCCAACCATCGATTACCTTCTGGTCCGCTGATACCGAGGAGCAGGTCTCTAACTGTGAACTTGCCACTTCTGTAACCCACAGATGAGATTTTTCGTACAGATGGACTTATTTCCTATTCGTTACTTTGCGCTAATTATTTCTTTGCCTCGCGTTGATGTTACGTCGCGGTTGTTTGGCCGTACCATATCTTGCTGTCCGCTATTATTGACTCTATTATGGCGATGGTAAGGGGAAAATCGTCCCGGATATGAAACATATAATGAAGACAAAATGTGAATCGCACAGAAGGATGGAAAGTGCTGTAGAGGACAGAACTGATTTCATTTACTTTTCTCCGTTGTCCAGTCCGGCGGGTGCTTTCTGTCTAGATGTAATCCATAATTAGGAAAAAAATTGTCACCAGTGCGCTTCATTGGTGCAAGACTTCATATCAAAGTCAAAATTTAGTCGAGTGAAAAATATTTCTAACGTTCTGTTTTAACTATTAAATATGGATTGTTAGGAATAATTTTAGTTTGTATGTTCAAAAGAGTTTCATGCGGCGATCATAAATTGTTCAGTTTTATTTGTTATTTATCTACTGCAGCTCTCTTGCTACATCTTGCAAAGGCCTTCTGTCTTTTATGTTGCGTGAATAGCTATTTTAAAGTAAGATATAGGTTTCAAATACCGTCTGAAAAGTTTGTTTTTATCTTTCCTCTAGAACATTTAGGTAAATAAATTTTATTTTTTCTTTTGTCTCGGAACTTGTGCTACGATAGTCCGTTTGTGCAGTATTCTTCTTTTCTTATATTTTATTGTTATTATTATTATTAAAAAAAGACTAAATGCTTGTTGTAACTTAAAGAATAGAATAACACTTCCGATTAGTTGAGTTTCTGTTTAGATAATATGCTCTGGTCATTACTAACTAATGCATATTATTTGCTTTTTTTTTTATACGTATTATAAATATCATATATAGCAGTTGACTCCCACAGAATGCTTGCGAGTTCCTACAGGCACAAAGTTTTTTGAAATATTCGCTGTGTCTTGTACTTACTGAAATAAAAATATATTATGCAATAAACATATGGTTATTAGGTTAAAAAACTAGTAACAGTCTTAATCCTAAAAGCGCTGATGTGTGCTTCCAAGGCTTAAACTTGTGATTTTGTTACGAAAAGTGAGCGTTTCAGTATTAAGCGGTTGTCGGAGTCGTGTCTTGTAAAAGATGTTTGCTTTCGGCTGGTTCACAAGATGATGATAGTTATGGACTGAAAAAAGATCCGAGAAATACGTTTTAATAGCGACATTTAGAGATCGCATAATATTTGCCAATCCATACAAATGTGACAGCAGATGCGTATTAGAGTTCTATCTGAAACATCTTTTTGATCAAAAAGGTAAATTACTAATCATACTAAAACAAATATCGCACCTTGACCTGACGGGGCCTGTTTTTTTCCCGTTGAAATAATATTGGCAATAATAATAGGCGAGAATTTTTCATTTACAAAGGCTTACATGGTAATACTTTGTCGTATACGAGGTATATTTTGAAGTCAACGTACATTATATGTACCTATGAGGTCTGGCAAATATAAAGACGTAAAAAACACAAAAACCTTTGTATTTCATTGACAGATTTAATTAAAAAAAAGTTTCATACAGGACGTATAGAGCATCAGAGCCTGCTGTAAAAAAATGTTGGTATCTAACATCCTTTACCTGTAAGTTGTTCAAAACCTGAAAACATTTTGGTGTTTTTGATCTTCGCCGCAAGGCGATCTTTGTGTGGTTTCTCATGCCTGTACATTCCTCTTTTTCAACAGGTGCGGAACAACCATAACGCCGGTCTCTAAAGAGGTTCATGGAAAAAACGAGATCAGTTCGGCGTCGAGTAGCAGTAAGGCATTATCAGCTATTACCCAACTTAAAAATGTGAATTTTCTGTGGAGGGAACAGGTATTGCCCACGGTTGAAAAGCCCTACTGTGCGCGCGCAGGGCCAGATTACTTCAACTGGGCATACTACACTGGTATGCATGCTTACCTTTAACACAAGTTAGTCAGAACAAGTCGGACTCGTTGCGAACTGTGGATTTGATACAGGCAAGATAAAACCTTGAAGAAAACAGGCTTTATGGAAAGATGCTGCGCTATTAGTAGTTAAAAAAAGTCATCAAAGGTTTTCGTTTAAGACGACAACGGTTATGCAGAAAACGGTCAATGCATTGATAATTGTCTATTTGTCGTTTAATGAAAATTATGTAATAGGGATGTTCATTTCTTTACAGGTTTATCTGCAAAAATATAGGTTATAGCTTTCAATTAATCTTTGTTTTGCAATCAGCAACTTCTCACGATGACGCACTCTTCAGCGCTTGTTATGGAACGGCCAAAGATGAGCTTAACAACGTGGAACCAGCTCAAGGTAATTGCAAGATAGCCTTCTGATTTATATATTTTAGGAAAACGCACAATATTTATGGTTTGAAAAACACTGAGAGATTCTTCTAATGTACAACATTTTTGTTCTTAGAGAAGTATACATGAGCATAAATGCGTAATTATGATTAGTTAAGAGACACTTTCTACTGTATTGCTATTATTTGTTTTATCTAATTTTGTATGCTATATCAGTTTGTTGAATACACTTCTAAGTGGCCATTACAAAACCTTACCCATTGTAGTACACCCTAGATTTGATCTTTCTTTATTTCTACGTCCAGCTTGCTGTTAGGTTCAATATTACGCCATGATGTATCAATGTTGTCAGGTTAATAATATAATGGTATAAAAAATTCGCTTATTTCGTACCACAGTAGCTCCTTCAGTAGCTTGCAGTCTATGGTGTTAACATAAGTAGCTGGGCAAGCCCGTCACCTCTCATAAAGTCATCAGATATTTCAGAACGGAAATGAATACCGCTGATCATCACTGAGTGAAAATAAGCACCTTCAGTGATAATGACCACTTGTGCATGGCGCGCGCGCTTTAATTCGATTACGTTGTGACATGAAAGTCAACCAAAGCGTGTGCAATCGTTGCCACGGTATACGCGAATGACTGGATTGCCAATTTCACCCATTCTGATGGATACAGTAAGCGAGATGCCTAAGTTAAACGTGCGCACAAAAGGAATAAAAGTATTGAAAAGAATGGTAATAGATTCGGCTTTTCAATTAAGGTTTTTCGCCAGCGCACAAATAGAATTCGTTGGAAGCTATTAGAAACAATAATTTCTCATGTTTCGTATATACTTGTTTTGTTTTTCATCCTGGTAAAAAAAGGCCCATATTTTTGTATACTTCATTACACGTTGAGAGCTTCTCTTGCTAATGATCTACAGCCAAAATTGGGAATGGCGTAATTAATCATTACAATAAATTACGGCGATATTTCAGCCTTACTGTAGCGAGTTGTTTGACATTAATCGATTAATACAGTATTTCTTGGATAGGACCCGTTTGGGTAAATAAGAATAATAAGAACGAAATAATGTAATGCCTCTATAGTTGTATTTAGAGTGCTATTATTTTTATTACAACTGTCGGCAGAATTTCCAATGTACCTACCGCATGGAATGATGAAATCGATACGTTGAACGAATGTTTGTATATTCTATGTAGTTATTAAGTGATAACTGTACGAAACCTACGAACATTGAAAGCATTACACATTTTACTTTGGAAGTATAACACATACAGAATGTAGCTTAATAAACAACTCTAAAGTTTATTATTAATTTCTTTTTAACTTAGGCACACATACTCCTGCAGCGAGAAAAGAAAAAACAGGAACTGGAAGCCGATCAAGCGATACAACAGATGAAACGCGAAATGGAACAAAAACGGAAAAGGGTAAGTGTATTCAAGAGCTGCTAACGTATTTCTGAGTGTAGGAAAAAATCTTCTAAAACTACGATATAACAACTTTTCGTATATTTTAGTTTGAAACAATTTAAAGTATGCTTTACTAATGGCGCTGGTACAGCAAACAGATAAAGCTACTGTATCTATATCTAAAACACCCAACGTTCGAACGGAATTAAACAATAAGCACAATCACAATGATATACCGTCGCTTGCGTCATGCTGTGGAAAGAGAAAAATTCTAAAATGTGTGCCAATCATTATGACAATCATATTATTAGACGTTGTTCCTTCTTACAGCTCATGGCCTAGTTTCGATGTCAGATTATAAATAGGAAAATTATTAGCTTTTTTTTTTATCCGCCTTTCCGAATAGGCCTATCCCATTTTTTACGCAGCGGTAAAATTTTGTAGCAGAGTTTGCTTCCTACTGAAGGCATCCAACTGTACTATGTCCCCGTGATGGCGCTATGGGCAACATGTTCGCTTGCTATATTTACGGACAGATAGTGCTCTAGATCCGAATACGAGCCTAGAAACACTTCGTTTCGCGGTCGAAGTCGGTCGTCACATGCTTGGAGGAGTTTGTATACAAATGACGATATTTCTATACGAACTGTGGGATCAGTTCTAGACTTCAACTTAAGACTTTAATTTGTTATTTTTCATTTGTATTGCTTTATGCACACAATTTTTCTAGCAAATTTATTACACCGGCTTCTTCTATGGCAATTACAGGATGCGATGACATTAGAGGAGATCAAGGAACAGGTAGCAGCTTCGGAGAAACGTCTCCAAGAACTCCAGACTGAAAAGCAAGAGCTAGTTCTCCAACTCAAAAAGGTTTCTTTTTAAGCTTTACACAATTATAACTAAATAGGCCCTTGGTACTTGACCGATCCTCGGCCTGGAATACTTAGTATCTTATGCCCGTGGAGTTTTTTGGATTTCATAACTACCAGGGAAGCCATGAGGTTCGTGCGCTCCGCCTCATAGCCATGCAACCTTCGAGTGCCTCTCCGACATCGTTGGCATTTCTTGGTGGCAGTTTTTCTTACACAAAGCAATTTCTTCTTTCTAAGCTAAGCTTCTAACGATTTACACTATTATGCGTCCAGTGCAACTTGCCATTATCTGTACCAACTCGCTAGTAAGTGGAAAGCCCTAAGAAATTATAGATCTCTCTTTCTTCCGATATATGTAGTGAAATCTTGTTCTCTCTGTTCCACGTTCTTTTCTTGCTTTCTCTCAACTGACTTAACTCAATTTTTCTTCTTCTCCGCGCTTCTCTTTCAGGTCTTACACGAGGACGACGCCAAACGTAAGCTCCAGCAGCACGAACAGCAGCATCTTCTTCAACAACATTTTGCCGCCCAACAGCAGCAGCACGCCCAGCAGCAACAAGCCGCCCAGGCTGCACAACAGCAGCAAGCAGCCGTTACCGCTGTACAACAACAGCAACAGCAACAACACGTGCAGCAGCAACAGCAGCAGCAGGTAGCCGCCCAACAGCAACAGCACGCGGTCGCTGCAGCTGCCGCGGCTCAACAGCATCACAAACTGCTATTGCAGGAACAACAGGCAGCGGCAGCTGCTGCAGCTGCTGCCGCTCAACAACAGCAGCAGCATCACCAACAGCAGCATCAAGTAGCTGCAGCGGCGGTGGCGGCGCACCAGCATGCGGCCCAACAGGCAGCAGCTGCAGCAGCGGTTGTTCAACAACAACAGCAGCAGCAACAACAACAGCAGCAGGCGGCAGCTGCAGCAGCAGCTGCACAACAGCAGCAGGTGCAGGCGGCAGCGGTCGCGGCACAGCAACAGGCTGCCGCGGCGGTGGCAGCGGCTGCTCAGCAAAGGCCGCAGGAGATGCCGAGCCCAGTATTTATGACGGTAAGTGAGATTATAGGAAAGGAAGAACACGATAATGTATGATATTGATGTGGATGGAATTCTATTCACTTTTTTGGCTGGTACTTAAGTGCTTGAAGTGTCTCACAGATTCCGCGATGGAGTTTCTCTTGTATGTTATTACGTAAGCCATAAGGTGCGCGTACTCTACCTTGCAGTTACATAACATTCGAGTGCATGCACTTACGGCATTGTTGATATGGTCTTCGCTGTAACTACTCACTGTGGGAACACGTCCTTCGTCAAGAAGATTTCTGTGTAAATCCCTAGCACAAATGAACAGAGTCGAGCACACGATTCGTCCAAAACTGACTGATGATACTAGTCTTTCTACAGTTTCGGTCATCACCGGGGCGGATGAAACAGATCGGTATATTCGGATGCATGTTCTCCTGTGTGCTTGTGCTGGAACGAATCTGCGTGTTTTATGGAAGGGTGACAAAACATAAGGGTCAAGGCTTTTCAGTCGCTGATAATGTCCTAGTAGCGTGACACTGCTCGAGGAAATATAGGGTGTTGTTGCAGATATCATCGCTGGCAATTCAAATTAGATAGAATGGGATACGTGAGACTATATTGAAATAAATAACGGCCACAATCGTTGCTGCCCGTGTTAATGTCATTGGTGTTATTAAGTGACAGCTCTGTGCCATATGGACTTGAATTGGAGAAACTTTATTTTTCTTTGATTTTGTTTTACTATTATTGTTATCGTTATTGTTATTATTCTTCTAAATCACGTAGTGTTAAGTAACAAACAGTGGTTTCACCTCAGAATAACAATCCGAGCTTGTTAAACAACAAGGTAACAAGAGATAAATCTACGAAGACCTCAGTTCAACTCAACTCATGAAGAACTCAGTGCAGCCTTTTGTCTCCTAGTTCTCACATCAACGATGATAAACAAACAGGTCGCACTACGACAGAAATAGTTTAAATGACAGTTGTTTGAAACATTATGCTAGATGAAAAAATTTGCTGTAAGTGACTTATTTGTCAACGTAGTTAATAAAAATAAAGCACCTTGACGTACTTCAAACGTTTTCAGCAGGGGATAATTTCTCCTCAGGGTTTTCTTTTGAGACGATAATTCTGTTTTCCAGTGTGAAAATATGGCTTAATCTTATATTATTTTAATTACGCAGGATCAACGTTTTATGGCAGCCGCTGCAGGGCATCCAGGAGGTCATAAAGTTGCCGCACCTCAACCGCATCGACCGCCTCCAATTAAGAGACATCACTCACCGTCTCCTCCTACCAGTACGGCGCAGGGGCCTGGTAACTCAGTATTTCCTCCAGGGGGCTATCCTCCGGGACATCCTTTCAAAGGACAGACCGCTAATCAGTCACAGGCAAGATTTGCGCCAGCACCGGGTCAAGTAAGTGAACAGTATTTATTTAGGATTAAGGCCCCCTTAATACCTTTTCATGATCCAGGTATTTTTCTGCACTTTATTTCTAATTTGTAGGCACTAAACAGCATATGGAATGCCCTCAATTGTTCTTGGAGAGATTAGCCCTAAAGTTTTCGTAGTTACCTTGAAGTGTGAACCAAGCTTGCCGTTGGGAAACTTACAGGGTTCGCCTTATGGAAACGCTACTGGCAAGCTAGGTGCATCGGCCGGGGGGGCATACCCTTCGCCCTCACCTGTTTACTACGTGTCCAGTGGACAACCGGGAAGTCTCCAGTATCCATTCCCAGCTCCGTATGGGCAACCTGGGCCGGCTCAAGCAGATAAGATGGTCGCCTACCATCCCGGCCACCCTGGGCATCCGGGGCATCCGGGTCACCCAGGTCAACCTGGAGTATTCAGCCCTCAGCATATGGCCGTAATGTCGGCTGCAGCAGCCGAACATAAAAAGCTTCAAGAACAAGCGGTATGAGCCAGCAACTAATTTAGCCACTTAATCAGAAATATAGATTAGGGCCCTAGCACCCCAATGTAACCGTTCGCCTTGAGCGTTTTCTACCTTTGTTTTAAACTGCTGATGCAATCAAGCCTTTTCGGGGTCACCCCTTCTTATAATGAAAACGGTAGCTATTTAGACTTTATCAAGAAAACTCTGGAACTTCCTCCATATAGTACAATTTATAGCCGGGGACTATAATATCTTTGCTCTTCGAGTGAGGAACAAATTAATCAGTAAAATGAATATTCGTATAAAAATCTACATATGCACCTTCAATGCATATTCGAAATTCTATTATTTTTTGCCTCTATATGCTTCTATCATCCTGATTCGTTCCCGCTTCTTTCTTTTTAGGTCGCAGCGGCTCAGCGTCAACAAGCAGCTGCCGCGGCCGCAGTAGCTGCAGCTCGTGGAGAACAGCAAGCTGGCCAAACACAGCAGCAACAGGCACATAAAAACAGCGCGGGCGGAAGCAGTGGGGTACCGACATCATCCGCTGCGGCCGTGGCTGCCCTTCAGCATCAGCACATGGTAGCAACAATGGCTCAACAACAGCAAATGGCCGTCGCTGCGGCTCGTCAGAGAGAGCGGGTCGAACGTGAGGGTCGGCGAACTCCACTCACGGCTGTATCAGGCCATGGTGGTCGTGATCAACATAAACAAATTACGCCCACGTCAAGTGCAGCTGCTGTTGCTGCATTCCAGCATCAACAGCAACAATTGGTAAGTTAGTTCAGCAAAAAAAAAAATGTGTGGGCAATTTTTTTCGCTATATCGCTGACGAAGTTGCTGACAAATCCAAGCGACAGATATTAGGAAAAAGAGGACATGTGTTTTTTAGGGTCAATGAGGGACAAGACAGAAAAAAAGCGCCGTCAGCATTTAAAGATTTTATGGTTGGAAATTTTGCTAATTTTGACTAGTATTATTGGAGAAGTCTGTTCAGCCGATAAATGTAATGTCTTTCACAACGAGGTAACATTTATACTTGATATGGAACGCTGCGCTAAAAATGGAAAAATATAAAAAGTTTAATATTTTAATTTGGTCTTTTATGACAAATCGAATACTTGAAATTATCCGGCTGCTAATCAAGTAGCACAACCTAATAAGCTAAGAAAATGTGCGCATTGTATTCTTAAATTACACATGTTAGAAGCAAATGATCGTCTACTAAACTTAGAGGGATACGCGAAGTAATCTTACTTTCGTACTAACGGTCAGCTTCCTAAATCAATGTCTACGGAAAGAACGGAAATAAATCTCTAATTACGACTTTGCCGTTGGTAAGACTTAGCGTGTTTGGTTTTCGTATTTGATAGGTTCAAGCGATGCAGCAGCAGCAGAGAGCTGCTCATATCGCCCAGCAACAAGCTCAACAGCAAGCTCAGCAACAAGCGCAACAACAAGCCCAGCAAGGGGGAAGGTTCTTCTAACAACCAAACCAGAGATTCGCCAGCGATTAACAAACAGAAAGACAAATAAACAGTCAGTTATCAATTTCGGTCATGTTTCTGATTTTAACACGCCAAGTCTTGGAGGCGGAAAATGCCGGATGTCCGAAAAATTTCTTAATCGTGTTCTATATTCTTCTCACTGCTGGTGAAAACTGGAGTCTCTACAGTTTACCTGAGCCGTTTCAGCCGTTAACAGCGAGCCGCTTGCGTTCTTCGAGGACGCTGATAAATAACCATTTGGACATGTTGTAGTTCACTGTTGGAGCGGAAACAACAAGAATCATATATATACATATATATATATATATATATATTCTGTATAGTGTGCTATTGACTTTCTATGCATAAATATCAACAAGCAATCCTTGTTGGCTTTCGTTAGATTAGGCCAAGTAATCATATTCATTTACTAGTATCATATGTGTAGTTTTTAGTATCCCTTTAGTTCAAAGGAGATATTTTGCTCAGTGTTTGTACCTAAAAGAGTTCCAGAAAAAAGAAAGATTGTTACTTTTTTGTATTTAAGAAGCATTATAACGACGATTATAATCCTGTGGTATTTATAGTAACGTTAGTAAATTGTAGACACTCTGTATTTCATTGAACACTCGTTCGAGGAAAAAGATTAAAGACGACAAATACATCTGAAAGCAATTAAAACAGCCATTTTTATGAAGGATGTACAATCCTAACATTTATCACATACATAGAAACCGTAGTCGCCATGATGGATGTCAATTGTGGGCGCGTAATTCCTTATTGATATCCCAGTGCAGACAACTACACACACACACGATATTACAACGGGCTAAAACGGCATAATTATTCTTCTGTGATCAAATCAATCTAGGTATCATGAGTATTATGTATAGATAATTTTCTGACAGTGTATGTCTATGCATGCATGTGACGTTTAATCGATAAGCAATCGATTAGATCTCCTAGTGGATAGAAATCCATCTGTACGTGGCGGACTGATTGCGATAGATAGATATATATATTAAAAAATATTAGAAAGAATAAATGAGTACGTAGATAAACAAAGCTCGTCGTTATGTAGAGATAATAGGGATGAGGAAAAGTGACAGGTGTAATTTAACGAATTGTATACGACAATAAACAATGCTAGCTAATATGAATAGTTATTTTCTCTTATGAGGTAACCGAATCTACCGAAAGGTTTTCTAGGTGAAGCTGTGCGTACAGAATGAGTAACTAAGAAGAAAAAAATTTCAGTGAACATTTTAGATTTTTATATTTGCCTTACAGACTTGACCTCTATTAGATAAACTTTGCTTTGAAAGCGTCCGGTTGTGCATAATGTATTACTGAAACAAAGAAAAATGTGGGTTTTGAGCAGCCTACATTCATAGGTTTTTCTAACGAAATCGACTGTGAACATAAAGGAAATTATCCTCTGGCATTATATACAACAGATGCAAAACACGCATGTCGGGTCGAGATGACATAATCAACCATACCCTTTCTCACTAGTTCTCATGCCGATGAGTGTCAGCTAAACAAGAAGTTAGAATTTGCATGCATGGGTCATACAGTTAGGACCAAACATGAGGAGTGGAGCGAATAGGCAAGTCGAAGTGAGTTTAGCGGGCGTCGACATCGCCGTTCTTGCTGTGGTTATAAATCTTTTTAGCTAAACCATTTGACTCTCAGTTATCATTCAGCTGGGTGCCATCTACTACTATTTGATACAATTTTGATACAACTACTTCAGGTCTATTTAATAGATAAATGAAGCGTAATCGTAGGGTAAATATTCTAAATTGCCCTGAGAGAAGTTAGATTGGGAATAAAATGCCACAGAAGGTTTTTAATACGGCCTCGACATGCAAATCTCAGTCAAGATTTCCAAAGCGCGGGTCTAGGGAAGCCTTAAGTCGACACTGCACATCTCCATGGTGTTCCCGAACACTGTCGTTCAGACAACATCAAAAATATATTCCAAATAAGCTGGAATTCAGACATAGCTTAAACCAATAGAGGATATATTTCCCTGCCTATATTCGTGCAAAATCACTTAAACGAAAATGTTTTCGATACTTCGCCTCAGATCTCCTTAAATCCTCCTTAGATCTTAAACTTGCTCAGCTGGAGTAGCTTAATTTGCAGGTCTAAACGGCGGTGCCTTCGTGTTGCGGTGACGCGTTTGTCTACTAATGTGACGGATGCTTGAGACGATCTTAATGCAAAACTGGACATAGATAAACTTCTATTGGAAAAAGCATTCATGCGATACGGTAACTAATGGAAGCATAAATTGTATTATTCAAAACATCTATTTAAGCCTGAATGGCCGCGTCACCAGTTACGTGTGCCGTTATTGAATCCAGCGAAAACTCATTAGTTAAACTCGTCTAGAAGCGCGAACTTCAAATTACTTTTCGCGTTCTACAAAAAGTTTTGGATGATCGATGGTAAGTTGAAATGAATGCTTCTTTATTTAAGAGACGGCTCGGCTACAAATACAAAATTCACTTGATGATTTACATTGTAATTAACGAACAGAGAAATCGTTTATGTTAAGAAAAATAACAATCAGGGTTAGCAAACATAGTCACATTATTATAACATTTTTTTCTAGTAAATATCATTGCGGATGAACCTTCCAATCCTAGAGTAATGTCAGGCTTATCTGTGAAAAGAAAACGTATTATCCTTCATGATTCGTTCTTACATGGATAGATTTCTTACTATTGGGTTGGTTTCTTTTATAATAATAATAGTAATAAATAAAACGCACCGTTGAACCTACCGTTTGTCCGGTTCGCATTTATAGTACTTTTTGGGGTGAGCGTTACACTGCTTTGCTATTTGTTCTAGTACGCCGCATCGCGGTGTTGTTCCTTCAGGCGCTTCCCTGTCTTTGCATTTGCACGCTTGATATGCAATGTACCTTTCCTTCTGGAGCTTTAAACCTGCTCTTCATGACCATCACCTTCTCGCGTTTGTTCACTGTAGCTATTGACCTCCAACGTTTCTTCATCTGAAGTACCGAGTTCGTGCCTGATTGTCTTGTTCACTTTTTCTTCTAACCTTATAGAACGAATTCTAGAACGGCTTGGAAATCGACTTTACTTCAAGTTCTGCGGGCTCTTTCCGTAAAGCTTTATTTTTTGTTTTTAGTTGAGTGACTTGTTTAAAAAGTATACTCAGCCCCTCTGCATTTCCTGTTGGATATCCTTTAGCATATTGATGTGCGTGGCTTATTTCTTTTTCTTTTAAATGAGGTCTTTGCTGCCCCTTTCAATATTTTGCTTTTGTCTTTGTTACATAAGTAAATATTGAGCTTATCCTGTTGTGCCGTATACTTCAATATCTTTATCAGGCAATATAGTTTATGGTGAGTATCACGTGCACCGAAGTTGTGCTTTTTGTTCTTACTCGGTTTTCGATTTCGACTGCTACCATTAGAATTTCCAAAATCAGAACTAGACAACCGGTAATTGGTGGGCAATTAAAATTCTGTTTAACCTACCCTGAGCTATCTGCCTGGATGCAAGAGGTAACAGAGACGGAGAACTACTTGTCGTTATATGTTACATGAGCATGTATTCATCCGTTATTCCTAGGATTATACGAAAGCCGGTTTTTCCTTAAAATAAGATAAACTTGTCATTGCAAACAACAGTGCGTCTATTTTAGAATTTGGGCGAAGATTAGCGACTAGTTAATCTTTTCGCGCCGCATTTTATCAAGATTGAAATCGACGGTTCACATTATTGCCAGATTTCATGGAGTTTCTGAAAAATCTGAAAGCGACTCATAAGATAAACCGGCAGATTATCAATACGGTTTAGATAAGGAGGGCTCGAAAAGTTAATCCAAATTCATTCAAATTAGCCATTTTTAATACACATAGGGCTTTATGCATAAATCAACGGTAATTTTAGATAGATGAATATTAACTTCTAATTGAGTTATCGAGATAATTTCATATAAGGTTTTTATGCCTTTTTGCACCCTTAGAGTTTTTTCGCCGACCTAAGCGCTTGAATTTCTGAAAGCTTTGGCCTATGCTATTAGCCCACTTGTTGGTGCCAATGCTCAATATTAGTACGACAACTGGGAAATACGTGACCCTGGTAGATACCAAGGATACATTTTTATTATATTGTCAACAAATACTCTAAATACAAATTCGTAGTTCTTCCAATGATTGTTTGGCGATTCGCACTTCAAGTATGGCGCTGTGAAGGTGTCTTCCTTACACTACGGATGATGCTGATAACTAAAAAGATTGCTTACTGTCCCGTGCGAACCATACATTAAAGTGCATCTTGTGCTCTCGCCCAAGCCCGGGACCTTAGGTGGCGCAATAGATACTGTGAAGGAAAATTACTGGCTGTTCATCCGTTATCGTGATTATTTTCAAAATCTGACATGCGTGACAGAGCCAGATATTGTAATCTGTTCATAGGATAAATACAAAACTGAACGAAAGATGTAATTAAATTTCAGCAACATTCATTGGTTATCACAGTGTATATAACGGATTCGTGATCGATTCGTTCGATTAGTTACTACGAACACTCATCCGCAGCAAAACGATTCTGGTGATGTCAAGCTTTTTGTTGAGTTGTTAGTCTCTATGAAAACTAAAATGACAAATGATACAAAAAAGATCTACATGAAAATAAGCAAAAAAAAAAGAAGATTATAAGTGCGATGGATTCTGTAGCGTTATTAAAATTTACTCAATGAAAAAGGAAATAGCAGATCCTAATCTGATTTCAAACGGGCCTTGAAATAAGTACCGGAATGTCGGTAAAATATACACAATAAACCGTCCGCAGGTACTGTTCAGGCCAAAGTGGCAAGGACGGACCTCGTGCAGCGTAATTTTACCAGTCATTGGCAGTCTTCTATTGCTGTATCATTAGGGCCAGCCAGGTTGTGACGGGATCACTGCCTCTGAGACTAGTTGAGTCCGACGTGCATTTAAGGATGGCCGCTACCGAAGCTTGCGTAGCGCAGAGCAGATTCTAGCCATTCACCAAATAATTTAAGAGAGAACTATCTGAGCTGATGTGAATGAACCTCCGTGAAATGACCCGCTAGCTATAATAAATTAAATCACTTTTATTCATTCATAGCTAATCAAAGCATTGCTTTAAATGCGGGCCACCGTTTAGTTATTTAGTCCTGAAAGCAACGGAATATCGAGGGACAGAGCTCTGTTCCCTGAAGTTTTTCTTGGTTGAAGCTTCGCTCTCCCTGGTGAATTGGCCGGGGTGGAGCCCATGCTTCTTTCGCCTGTTTTGTAGATGGCAGAATTTTTACTTTGAAGATGAGGCCGTTACCGAATCACACAAATTTCCGACTTTCAAAAAATCTAGTGTCTATTTTTGCACTGGAGGTTTCCAACTCGAACGACATTATGAGAGCTTTGAATTGTTTCTGGTGGAATACCATAGAAGACTGAAATCGACTCTGGGAAGTTACCCAGAGTCGATTTCAGTCTTCTATGCTATTCCACCAGAAACAACTCAAAGCTCTCATAATATATAAAACGCTTAGGATGTTAAAATAGATATATGCAAATTAAGAGATAAAAAGGATAACATATAATATATGCCATTATAGTTGTAGTTTTCGTCAGTTTCAATAATCACATCGATACCATAAGTCAATTCGTTAAAGGTATGCTTGCGGTTTATAAAAATATTTGGGTCTCTTGGCCGTTTTATTATTGAAAGATCAAAACATTCATATGGGGGTGTCGCGCCCAACTTTGTGGAAAGCCTTATGCACCTATCCTCTTCAGAAAGGGGTACCAAAAAATATTCAAACAGGGAGGCCTTTTCAAATCACTGAGATGTCTTTTTAACATCTTGTATAGGTAATTATGGCTTGCCGGATCGAATACACTGAGCAACAGAGAACAGTTCTCGAACCATATTACAAATAAAGCCGCGCACCGTGTGTCAAAAGAAAGGTTGTCCAGAACTTCCAGACAAGATCCTAGATGGCCTTGTTTGTCTTGTTTACCTCCTAGGATACAAGACACACTTTGCCAAAGCTGGTGTATTTACATTATATAATGTTAGCATTTATATTTGACATTATCGTGTATATAATATTGCATCGTATGTGCATTAGTTATGGCAGTAAAATATTTATGCGATTTTACATAGAATTTGCGCTATCTATAGTAAGTACAGTCTTTCCAAGTATTAAAAAAAAAAAGGTGGTTTCCTTTGTCTTCAAAATACAGACTGCCATCTGAATCTGTGATAAATAATAAATAATGCGTACACAGTTCAATACATTTTTTCTGCCTTGTTTTATTCAATAGCAGTACTAAATAGACTTCAGATATTGAGTTGCCACGGGGCCATTATCAGAGGAAAAAATGGCTCTGAAACACACAAGCTGTGGATACGTACTCTTAAAGTATGCTGGATATTGATATACTATTTAATTTGAAGCTCACTTCATTAATAACTTCGCTACTAACACGGCTTTGGTATATAGTCGTCGATGGTGTTTGGTATCAGCAGGCTGCATAAACCTACACAAAAGCGCATGAACGGCAACACTCACTTATGTATAGTTCTTAACTTGTTAAATATAACAAATGTGAGAACTTTCAAAAAACTTATATATGACAAATAAACATCTAAGCTTATGGTGAAGAGTTCACCTGTTTTAGTACACTCAAGTTGTTGACCTTCGGTAAAAGCACGTACATCTCTGGACCTAGTGGGGTCCAACTATTGAAATTCGACTTATTAAGTGCAGTTTACATCTCCACTTTTGAGCCTGATGCATACCCAGTGACGAGGCCATCACCGTACGAGACAAAAAGTCTTTCTTACATTATTAACAATTTCACAATTTGACAAGATTGTCAACTTCAGTTAATAGAAAAACATTAAAGCGTTGTTTATAAAGATACATTAAGATCAATATGCGGATATTGGCCGGAAGACGGTTTTAATGATCCATTGACTTCACTAGAAGCGCTGAGCTACAATCACTACGCTCAGTTGCTTTCGTTTGAAAAGCTTCTCCTAAGCGAGGAGTTTGAGAGAAAGATAAATTGCTTATGCAGAATCAGTTTGAACTTTTTAATGTTTTGCGATTCTTTTTTTTTAGAAATTGCTAAGGATATAATTATTTACAAGAACCAATCTTGAAAAATGGGTAACGATCTCCAAGTTGTTGTGGCCATGCAAGCAATAATCCTCTTAAAGGGTCCACTTAAATCCTTGATCAATTCATATGCAAGTTATTGGTACTACACCGACAAAAGCGACAGGCATGACAATGGAATGAATGCGGGAAGAAATAATTTTACATGTAAATAGCAAAAGCCACAAACGCTTATGCTTCAGCCTCATTCGCAATTGTAAAAACTTTGAAAGAGATCTGAGGGTTTTATAAATTCACCGAAACCGGTTTCTAGTTTATCCATTCCCTCACACCATTCTTCCATAAGGTAATCTTCTTTCGGTTAGAGAAGATAACAGTAAGACCAGACCAAATAATCTCAAAGTATATATACTTAGTCTAGTAATAAAGTATAATTTTATTCATTGAGTACTGGTTTGTATTTAACAAAAGTAGTATCAAATGGAATAGTGCAGAGACACCAAATTGTTCTGTGAATGAAAAGTATTGCAGAAAACACGGTCAATACAGTTGAGACCTCGAGCATGCAAAAATCAGTGTAGATTTTATGCTAACCTTTTTTAAAAAAACTTGCACTTTTCCATACAGATGAACAAAAAAACAGCTCTTCCAGCAAACGGCTCAAACTAACATAATGCTATTAAGTGCCTAAATGAAGGAAGCTTTGATAATCTCTATGCTCTAGTACGGTCAATGCACGGTATAATAATTATCTATTATTTTGCAGGCATTCTATTATCGATGGGGTTTTATAGAGATGCTTGGTGTTGCATCACTGTACTCTCGTCGATGTGGCGTCTTTACGGTGCAAAAAAGCTGGCTATCTAGGAGAAGAATTGCTAGCCGATTACTTATCTGTTAACCTTGTAATTAATAGTGTGAAACTAACGAACTGTGCTTTATAAAAAAAAACAACAGTAGAAGGAACAGTACGCCTTGAAGCTAGCCGTGCTGCATTAGAAGTTTCAGAATGTTGATGTAAAATCGACGTCGCATTCCCACTCCCTGCGAGCCACAATCAAGTATCTCACAAATGAAACAAAATTTACTTGTTCCTCGCGGCACGATAATCCATGGAGCTTTCTGTGGTGTAATAAGCTAGAATTTTGGTGGACGAAAATCTGAAAACGATTAGTGTTCTAGAAACGTTGGCCTGCTCGACAAGCTTTCGAAACAGCCAGAAATAGTATACCTACGGGTTATAAATACACATAAATAATTGAATGATTAGAGAGCGCGTAACCAATGAGTTATTTAAAGATAATTCAGGTATTTTCTATAAGTTCAACTGCACCTAGTTTGGAGTAACTCAGAATTGATTGAAATCGACTTTTTCGACGCAGATAATATTCTGTATATTATATTAGATCCTATATATATTCTATATATTACGTTATAAATATAACGCAAAATTGAATGCGTGTTCTTAATTGTTTACAGCCATTTTATTCATTTATAAGTCTAGAGATTTTTAAAATAGCTATGCTTTGTTGAAGTGGCTATGTTTTAAGTTCACCAAGGATGTCCCTGACGGCCAAGTCTTTTTAAGAAAAATCAATTTAAAAGGCGTCACTCCCAGTCTTTATGAAGAACGTTGTACATCTGTTCCTTCGAATTTAAATAATTCGAGCAGAATTCTATTCTTCACACTGCCCAATATCGTTCGAGCCTTAGAAAAAAAACGTTTTTCGGCGGTCTGCTCTCTGAGTTGACCACAGTGTGTCTTTCCACTTTCATTTTAGAAAACTGATTGGGTTCAACAAAACTGTTAAATAACTACAGCTGTGAAAAAATTTTCGATCACACAAAGACAAGTAGCTTACTTTGTAGAAGACCGGAATCTTCGTGCCTCCTGAAAGATGGCGATAGCCTCTTCAATAGACTGGGCAGCGGATCATGTAAACAACTGATTCAAAAATTGCCGCTCTTCTCGTGAGAAGATTCTAGCAAAAGCGCCAAGCGGAGACAAATGCGGCCATGATTCAAGGTAAACTAGAGGATCTGCCAAATCGGTCTGGCTTTGAGAATGCTCTGTCGTTATACATAGACCTCTAGACATCGGAGTTAGCATGCGTAATCATAGACATTCTCGCTTGAATTAGTGCGGATGATCTATATGATTTCCTGCAGGGCATGAAAAATGTGCTAAATAAGTTGAAAAATAATATTTGGACCACACTATATCCACAGAGTTGTAGGTACTAAACGATTTTATCAGAAGTCAACAGCTTCTATATACTAAAACAGGCAAACTCTCCACCTGTTTTACTAAGTTTAGATGTTTTTTTAATCATATATAAGTTTTTTGAAAGATATCACATTTGTTATATTTAACAAGTTAAGGACTATACATAAGTGAATGTAATCATTCATATGCTTTTGTATAGGTTTATGCAGCCTGCTGATGCCAAACACCATCGACGGCTCTATATCAAACCCATGCTCGTTATAAACATAATGATTAGCAGCGAAATTATTAATAAAGTGAGCTTCAAACTAAATAGCATATCAATATCTAGCATACTTTAAGAGTACGCATCCACAGCTTGTGTATTTCAAAGCCATTTTTTTCTCTGATGATGGCTCCGTCGCGACCCAAAGTCTACCTAGTATTCCTATTGAATAAAACAAGGCAGAAAAAATGTATTGAACTGTGTACGCATTATTTATTATTTATCACAGATTCAGATGGCAGTCTGTATTTTGAAGCCAAAGTAAACCACCTTTTCTTTTTAATATTTAGAAAAACTGTACCTACTCCGGATAGCGCAAATTTTATGTAAACCACATAAATATTTTACAGCCATAACTAGTGCAAGTACGATACAATTATTATATACACAATAACGTTAAGTATAAATGTTAACATTGTAAAATGTAAATATACCAGAGCTATTTGGCAAAATCTGTCTTACATCCTGGGAGGTAAACAAGACAAACAAGACTATCCAGGATCTCGTCTGGAAGTTCTGGACAACCTTCAAAGAAAGCGTCTATTTTCTTTTGGCGTAGATGAGCATGGTCCTTTTCTGTGACTACCTCTTGAGTTATTCTGAATTGAATCACTTCTGCTTCAGGATTAAATAGTAGAGCATCAAAATGGGACGTGATTAGCGCAGGGTGCTGATGCGCTTTTCCCAAGATCCGGTCCGACGCTACGCAGTACCCTAATTTGCGTTCTTGGATCTTCGCTTCTTTTTTGTCTCTTGCTCAACGGTTTTGAAACCAAGTGTTTACCTGTACCGTGCTACAGCCGATGACTTGTGCGATAATTTCTCTTCTTTTAACGCACAGAGCGCGGCTTTGTTTGTAATATTGTTCGAGGACTGTTCTCTGTTGCTCAGTGTATTCGATCCGGCAAGCCATAATTACCTATACAAGGTGTTACAAAGACAACTCAGTGATCTGAAAAGGCCTCCCTGTCTGAATATTTTTTTGGTACTAATATCCCTTTCTGGAGAGGATAGGTGCACAAAATTTCCAGAACCTAGGCCATCTCATGTCCCTAAAATGGTAGATGCGTCGCCATTGTACACATTTTACTCAGACAACTACAGCAATTTTTATGGTATTTTGAAGGGTTCTTGAATAACTCGAAGTGTCTTAGACTTGATTTGATGAAGGACGGTAACTTCGTGAGCAACACGTTAGGCGACTACAGTTCATAGCCAGTGGCTGTGACAACCAAACGCCGCTTGATTAATCGAGGTCTTGCGCTGTTTTATCAAATATCTTTCAAGTTTTACGCCTGCTACTTCGTTAGTTTAGTACTATTGTTTTAGATGACGAACGATCCCTTCTAGCATAAAGCGAAGCGTGTTTTCGGTTTCGAATCTAGATCACAACATGCCCCAAAGTTTTCTAGGTAGACACGTTTTCACTGCACTACCACAAGGTCACACTCATCATACCTAAATACTTCGCGTCTGACGTTTAGAACAGCCGCTGAACACTATACCATGTGGTTAACGATGTGGCATGTGGATTATATCTGTCCCCAAAAGCTAACATACAGTTCACACGTGTCTTACCAAAGATTTTTTGTTAGACAAGTTACAATTGTGCCCTCGAACGGTCTTTCCCTCTTTGTGGCGGCAACATCAGTGTGGAGTTCATCAGTAGAGCAACGCTCAATACCTACACGTTCTGTAACAAACCGGTGACGCAGCAAGTACGTTGTGTGCAGAAAAATAATATTTTCTTTAAAGATTTGCGGAATTCTATCCTACGGATGATCGAATTGCCTCCAAGGGTACGCCGTCGTTGTACCACCGTTTATATCACGTCTAGTGCTGGGAGAAGCACAAACAAGCGACATCTATATGAATCACGACTTGTCGTTTTTGGTGAACTTCATCTATTTACGTGTCCATTGCGACGCATATCGAAGAGATGACTGTATGAATTATTTTCCCATATAATTTATGTGGAAAAGTAGGCTGGATGTAAAGTGATTCCCCGAAGGTTTGGATGACTAGGCTGAAAATCTAATTGCATCCTATGCTAGGACGAAGTACGTTCGTTTTGTTTGATGTATATTAAAAGTTTTGTGAGGTACGCTGCTTTTTTTTTTGTAAGATGATGCCTGCTCCAGAAGAAATGAGCCTTCCGAAGCGTGCAGGATAGTGTAGAGACCGTAGATGCTACGAAAAGCATCGAGTGTATAGCAAAACGATATGGAGATTGTATATAAACAGGCAACTAATGATGAATATTTCGGAAAAGGTTTTAAGCGCCTGCTTCGAATTTGCTAGAGTCACATGTTTTAAATAACTCGGTGCAAAGACAAAATAAAAGAAGGGTGGACCACTTTTCATATGTCGTATAGAATAAAAAATTGTGAAGATATGTAAAGCAAGACAATCCATGGTAAAACTGATTCCCTTAGGACCGTCATAAGCAGAAAGGCCTTGGGATTACAAAACGTTCTACCCGCGAGTCTCTCGTCTAAAGATGGTAGAGCTGCCTATTTTCGTCTCTTTCCTCGGTGTCCCTACACGATAGTTGTGCTTAATCGCTCGATTCTTGTCTGAACAAAACCATGTTTAAACAACACACCTGCATGAGCTTGTATTTCTAAACGCCGAACGGGGACAACAACGGCAACAAATAATAGGTAAAGTCGCTACTCGTACGAACAGAAACTATAATAATATAAAAGGCGTTGGACTAAAATTTGAATAGATTCTTATTTAGCGCTGTCTCGGCTAAACAAAGAAATGTAAATGCAAAAACCTTTCGAACACACAAACGGATCAGTACTAGCATTATCGAGGGATTTTAGTTCAGCCATACGAAAATGAAAATACGAGATATGGCGTATTTTGAAGATTTCAAAATTATCATGAGTTTGCGCAAAAAACCCTGCAAGTTTTTCAACCTGTTATTGAATGGTAACGCTTCATTGAAATTTACTTAACGAAAAAGGAAATAGCACATGCAAAATCTGATTTCAGGTTGGTAAATCTACCAGAATATAACACAATATGGAGAAAATATCGGCATGTCTTTCGAGCGCTTGCCAACATTGTCAAAACCATCCGCCGGGAGGACCTCGTTCAATGTCACTTTTTGATTTTATGCGGTATCAACAGTGTGATTTTGTTATTGACTCTGAGTAGCAGAGGCAGTAAAATGTAAGTAATAATTCAAATCAATCTTATGATTAGTTGTCAAGGTTCGATTTTGTGCCGGCCATTACATTACTCTGCATCTAGTATTCGCACCTGAAAAGTAAATATTTTGCTTCTCAAACGGAACGCAATATATTTAGATATATTTATTAAAAAAAAAAGAACTCAGGAATTATTTATAAAAGAAAATGCCAAAAAGCGTAGCATAATCTTTTCCAAGCGATCATCGTTCGTTTACACGACGGGGATTTCACGTTATTGTTCTGTATGGGAAATCATTCCATATAGCATGCTGGTCTCTATCTACCCCTCCTCTACCATGTAACCGGGTGTAAAAACAAATGCCAATCTGAACTATCGCTAATGTGCGCACATTTAATATTTTTATAATCTACGTGTTGTGTTTGCTAACATAAATGCTAACGAACAATTTACGTTAGAGCTCACGTCTCTCTACAATTTATATAACCATATACGTTATATATGATTAATTGCACGTCATGTGGTATGGTTATAAGTTCTGTTAGAACGTCCATGTAGTCGAATTCTAGTTCATTGAATCGTAGTTAAAAGAAATCAAAATAATTTCTATCAGCTAAAAAAAATATATATATATATATGTGATATTTAACTTCAGCATTCTATTAAATATTGTCCATTGCAACCAAGGAAATTATAGTTGTTCTTTTTCATAAAATTTACGTTAAATTCGTTTTAAATTTTTTCAACGAAATTTTGATTTCCTTAGTTATTGCTGTAAGCAATGGAGCAAGCCTTGTATGGCAATTCTACTGAATTCCTGATCGTACGCCAAATAAAATGCATATGAGACACTAGATCGTAACTTACCCAATGAAGTTTAAAGTGATGTATCACTGAATAAAAAATGCCATGTCCGACCAACCGTTCTTGCCGAAAATACATAACAGAACAGCAGATGTCATTGTCATAATATAACAATATAATTTCTTCCGACTTATGATTTTTCCGTGTGTTGAAATAATGCCATTGTAAACAAATAGTGTTTGACTTAAAACTTCGTCAAGTCTTTATTAAACACTGAGATTGACTTGTTTGTTGAGAGAACGGTGATAAGCAGTTAAAGTGGTTATGTAGAAACAGCAAAACTAATAATGTTATAAGTTGTTCTCTGATATAGGGGTTACACTTGGTTGATTTATTAAATTCCTCCTCAATAATGGCAATAGATCAGTTTGGCCTCGCTATATTGTTACATTATAACACGATTATATTGCACTTATACCCTGCACCTGCGATGACTATTGTAGGTGGTTGTGACCCATTGTCTTTACATTAGTGCCGTTCTTTGTTGCATCACCTCATCTTCTATACTTTTTCGTTTTTCAAGTTACAATCACAATTAAGTTACATTTTACTCAAATGAATCTTGCTTATCTATTTGTAATCCCATGATTTTCCTATATGCTATATAGTGTAGGCACTGCCCGATCTGCTCATTTATTTCAAGCAGAAATGGGAGAGAACAATTTTTATTAGCGCAATACATTTTTATCTTATACAGCTGCAAGCGATTTACGAATAATATCGTGTATGTAGAAGGTGTTAGATACATATTAAAATCTGAGCAAAGTGTTTGAACCCAGTTGAGGGAAACGAATGCAATATGTTTCAGAATAGTCTTGTTTACGCTGCAATTGACGACACAAGAGATAAGGATGGATTGCATCAACTTATTGTATTAAAGTGTGCCTGGAGAAACAGGTGTCCTACCTGGGCTTTTTACTGTCACGATAGGTATTAGTGGCAGTGAAAAATTAAAATTTATGATTTCTTATTGACTATAAAGTACTTGAGTTATCACCAGTAGTTTGTACTGTACGCTGTGATCCATATGTATGTAAAGTTGGCGTAGAGAATACAAGGGTCCTTTGGGTTAGAATTGCGAGTTAAGCAATCGCTTCGACCGCGAACTCGCAGGCTGTAAAACGTTGTAAGTCCTTTTGTGTCATGTCATTTTTTAATACAGGTGTATGAATTAAGTATGATTTTAAAAAGCGTAGACAGCATTACTTGCTATGACATGCTACGGACACGAGAATAGACGACTTCACGCACCCGTATTGGAGATGGATTTTTCGAGACTAGTATTAAACTGTATTAGAACTGTAGGAATGGCACCGAATATTGTCAAAAGCTGCTGACAAAGAAAAACAATGCAAGGACCTAAAAAGGAACCCGACCCTGAAAACTGAAAGAAATTTTTACGATGAGATATATTGTTGAAAAGAAGGAAGTTTTATTATAACAATGTTTCAGTTGGAATCTCATCATAAATCAATGAAACATTTCGATGGAGGGTACTATGAAATGTCTTCACAAATATTGCCATAAAGCCTGCGTACCCCCAAATCTGGGTCGAATCAAATCTCTCTTTTTGGCCTACCACGATCAAAAAAGAAGATAGGTGGAACACAACAAACTTGTCGGAACCAACTCTCCAATGACCGTCATAACGCTTTGAATAAAGAGCATACTGTTGGTCAAAAAATACCTCGAAGCTGCACTATTGAGCACTTAACCACGAAGAACAGCGTAACTAGAGGTTACGCACATATTACTAAGACACTTAACACTGTCGGTACTAAAAAATATTACGTTCATTGTTATTTTCATCCTCATCATTATCATTATCTAATGTCATTCTTTGGCGATTCACCTAGAGAATAACACATGTTCCAATGGGAAGGTAAATAGTAATATTGATACACGGGCCTGATCGACTAATCGTAGGGCAGACATCAATGTCTGCACTAAAAGCAGTCGATCAGGCCCACAAATTTATTAACATGTCCTAATAAAGTAAAATTGTTTAAGATTTCATAAATCTAAGTCACCTCTTGGCATACTGGAATTGGCGGATTTTTGTTAATTGACTGGGTTATATAACTTACATAAAAAACAAACCACAGCGAGATATTCCATATGAAATTTGCTTTATCTACCTTTAACTGTATAGATAAAATAGCTTGGGATGATGCCGTTGATAAGTGGGGTTTGGTAAGAACATGAATTACGATTTTTTGTTGCTTTTCGATCGTATAAGATGCAAGAAATGCCAAGTAAATCGGTAGCCATAGGTTTTGACATTCAGCGATCACATAGAAGTACTGATCGTTTTGAAACGATGCCAATTCAGCTTTAATCCCTTCTAGATCTCTAGACAACCAGACATGCTTACTTAAAATTAAAAATATATGTAAAAGCTGGATATGGACCAGTACAATACATTTGCGTACGACCACAAAATTAGTAATTTTGTCACCCCAGATACGCGGCGATTATAGACAAGAAATGTATGCCTTCAATTCACGTATTCCATTTCAAGTCATCAGCGCATAATTAATGAAGATATAAATACGGGTATAAGTGAAGTCATTTGACCGTTTTCTGACAAGTAGTATTAACTATATGTAAGTTAAAAGAAAATCTGATAGTCGAACGGCCTTTAGATAATCGGCTAATACTTTGGATTAGAAAAAAGTATCATACCCATCTTCGTGGTATAACACTGCTATTTTTTTTTCAGTCGACTGATGGTAATGATTGAACCTATTTTTCCATTCTTTGTCCAGTACTACATATTGTTATATATTAATTAGAATAAGTAGACTGGCTGTGTAGGCTATATAGGCCCAGTTGGCAGAATGTTTGGTAAGTGAGTATCCAACGGCTTTGTTCTTCTACAAAAGTATTCCAAAATCATGTTGGCTTATGATTCCGCCTCTATGTATTATAGCTAAAACGTCTAGATCTGTAAATTACCTGTAATATCATACCATTGGTTAAAAAACGATCAGGAAACAAAAACATTGTGTTATCTATAGAGTGTGTTAATTCAGAGCTTTTTTAGACTAGCTTAACTAATGATGTTCCGATATTCTTGAAAGGAAGTAATCCGGCTTTGCGAGTCTCATACTAAGCACCGTCACCCGTTGGCGACGTATGTGCGTCAGACAGTCTGAAATCTCTTCAGAACTATATACTATACGTTTAACAACTGTGGCCACCCCGTCAGGATTTGACAAGTGAGTGAAGGTTTTATTACAATAAAATTAATAAAAAATAATGAAAAACCAAAACTGATCAACAGTGTATCTTCAAAGTACACATTCGTGTATGGATTCGCCCAACCACGAGCCCATATACAATAGATTATGGATACTGGCGCGTAGGCAAAGCGTTTTGTCGCCTTCGTCTTCTACCATCCGAGCAGCCATTCGATTGACCATGTCAACAAAAGTCGCTTGTTTCCTACACTCATCGTTCTTGAGTTAATGACATCAGTGACAGGTGCGCCATTCCTAGCGTATATTTACAGTAATATGAGCAAATATATATAGAATCATGTCTTCAGTTCTTATAGTGTTGTCGTTGTAAATAAACGTGCTGCTAAAATCTTGATCGTGTAGATAATGAGTCCAAAGTTTTTTGATGGTTTCAATCATCTGAGCTGAACTCGTCCTGTGGGTCGTCTTCTTTGTAGAGTGCACATACTAGTTTTCGCATCCCCTTGAATAGAGGGGTGAACCCATATTGATATATATGTCACGCTTTGCTCTGATTTCGTCGCTACTGGTATCGGCTCTCCTATAGAGGTTTACAACACGTTCCATTTGTTGATAGTGATCCATGCAGATGGGAAGGACAGAGATGACGGAGGAGCGGTTTAGAGATGAATCGCGACATTGTAATTGCTACGACAGGTATCACCATTAGTGTCACCGTGGCGATTCACTTCTATCGAACTGCTAAGGTCCCGCGCAAATGCGATGTGCATTTGTCCGAGCTCGTCGTTAATACGGCGGGTTGTTCGAAGTTCAACAGCGGGTTCCTTGCGACTCTCCTATAATCAGAGCAGAATAGAAACATGCAAGCTACATTTTCAATATAAATATCTTGGGTGCAGTCAGTGTGATTTAAGAAAAAAATATAATCCTAGCGTATATCTGTATCGGCATTTGAAGTATCTTCATTTCTTCAAAAATATCTAAAAATATCAGTCTTTCGCTGAATCAGATTTCTGTTAGACGGCAAAGCCGGATGCATTAATTGCCGTTTTCATGCAACAGTTCCCATCCAATAGATGCAGGTAGTTAGCAACGTACTTTATACATATAGGGTGTGATGGTGTAGCGGGATGTGTTTGTCTACAAAATTTACATGGAGTTAATGGAAGCTTGACACGGGGCGTATATACAGTTCGTTTCGTGCTAGAAAAGCCAGCCATCTGAAGCAATGCTTAATAGTAGCAAACGTAAAACTCGAAACACTTACAGGAAGGCCCGGTACCCTTTAACGTAATAATTTGGTGCTTAATTTTCGATTATAGATGAGCATATTAACAACGTTAAAAGAGGGCTGGCTCGCTCGCATCCTTTGACTCTTTTGCCTACGGGCATTTATAAATAGATTACGCTCTACGATTAACTATTTAATATTTTATTTGTATTTATTTGCAATAATATGGGATATTTGCAATAATAATAGGAATATGATTCTTTTAAATGCCCAAACACGCAGCTTGGTGACGCGTTACTGCCCAGTATATTGGACGTGCCAGTCGTTTTTGTTTAGCTTAAATGATGAAATATATCGTAAGCCTTTCAAGTTAAATTATATTAAACGCTTTGCTCAGCAAGCACAAAAATATCGAAGAGGAAACAGACTTACAATGCCACTGAGATGTAAATTTTTGTTTAAATTCTTTTCCATGTAGCAGCGTTCGTCATTTACTATGGTCTCATCTTGCTTAGTGGTCTTGAGTCCCCGTTTGGTTTCGTTGCTTTCGCCCATAACGACCTCCTTGAGGAACAGAATGGTTCTCTCACAGAACACCGTGGCCAAAAGCGCCGCAGCAAAAGTCAGTACGAAGCTGCCCATTCCATTATAGAACTGAAAAGTGAGATACCACGGGAAAACTCTGTATGTAAGATGTGCCAACAAAAACTAAAAAACACATGTTATCAATTGTCCCGTAGGCGAAGAAGACAAAGAAAAAAAAGTCAATTACCTATATTAGTCGTGTTAATTATGATCTAGGGCATATCGAATATAATTTCCCAAACACAAGACGTTTGAATATTTAGCAAAGTAGTTATTTTACAAACAAAAATCGGAACGTTTCTTTGAATTCATAAGGACACTGCTTCTGATTATGCTAGGTATATATACTAAATTCATCTTCAGTGTTATATGAGTACATGTAGTATTAATCATTTCTTTGTTTGTAGTGCACACTTCAGCCGCAGATACGTCCACTGAGTACGTAATATATGGACGCATTTACAAGAATCTATTTCGCCATGCTAGGCACTTCGCTAATATTATACCTGGGGCATAAATGTTATATGCGTGCGTTCGTCAATGGTCCACATTCTGTGCCAAATCAACGGCACATGCATCACGTACATGGCATACGAGAGACGTGAAATTGGAACTAATGCCTGGTAACCAAGGATCGAATTCACTATACCTGTAAAATCGCGTCAAATTTCGTGAACGTTAAAATGATACAAGTTGAAGAAAATGCTATATTATTGATCCGGTATGAATTAAATGAATTAAATACAGCTTCATCTTCAGCCCAAGAAATCCCCGTATCTACAATTGCTTCTATCGCTATTCATATTAAGGTAGAATAATTTAACAAAAGTAAACTAGCTTACACAGTAAGTGCTTCTTTAGTAGCTAGAAAGTAATCTGTAGGTTTAAATAGGTGCTAAATCAGCACGGGCATCAACCTACCGCCACGTCCGGTTGTGCAAGCAAAGACTACCCAGGCGAGTCCACCGGCCCACAGGGAACGATGGGTGGACGCATAGAGTGCAGAGATCCACTGCGAAGGTAGTTCGCCTGCCCCCCAGTTTTTCGTCACGAAAAGCACCGTAAGCATCAAGCTTGTCGCGAACGCCCAACCCAGTATCTCAACAGTCTACACGTTGCCAGCGATTACATGCAAGCGGGACAATAGTTGATCCAACAAAGTATGCAGTGTTAAAAGCAATCAATATTCGTTAAAATAAATGCTAACCTTCCGTTGATTGCAATTGTCGTGGATGTCTTTTTACTATTGTTATTATTAAATTCTATCTGTACTAACAGCGCTTAGTTAAGAAACTGAAACGCCAATGAGTTTTGTTGTATAGTCTGCTAGACATCTGCTTACATTGAATCCCGGAAAATACTATCGCTATATAGAGCGCTGATGACTTTGTCATATTATTTTGAACGCTGCCCCGCCCCCGCCTTACTTACGGGTCAGCGCGCTTGTAAATGACCCCATTCATTCACGTGTTTGTATGTTCCACTTTTACAAAGTTGCCACTTCATAGAGAATCGGCTGTTAAGTCCGCAGTATCATACTCGCGTCACCATCGATTGTTTACCACCGGTATCTTTTTACACGTACATGTTATTAACCGAACAAGTATCGTTGAGCAGATAATTCAACAAGGACTGGTGTCTTTGTTCGGTCCTACGACCTTATTCTGGCTAGAGTTTTGAGTAATCGCTTGAAACTAAACCTCAAAGTATGGTCTGCTATGGATATATTAGCCAGCTAAAGGCAAGTTGTGTTGAGCTGACTCACCTAAGAGAAACGGTCAGACCAATTTTTCAGCGTAGCATGCTTGCAGTCATCTGATCGAATCGGTCCTACTTATTATACGAACTACTTGGCTAATTTTGGTGGCCTCAGCATGGAACATGGGCATTTATGTCGTATCACATTGACTATTTGTGTACTATGAGTAAGTGCATGAATATTTAGGAATGTTTGAATCTACCTATACACGATGTTAATATACGGTTTCGACTTTGAATGCTATACTCTTATGTACTGTACAGCATTACTAAGAAAACTATATAAATATTGATAGAAAAGCGACGACAAAAAAATTTATATACACACAAGTTACATAACTTGAATATATAATGTGTTATTTACGTGGCGAAGAAAAATTAAAATTAATTAAAAAATGTTTGTCTTATAATGCGCAGTACGCACCTTGTATCTATAGAGTTTTACCTACATAACTGTCGTAAAAGGCTTTACCTTGGAGATTGCGATATCCCGATGTTTCAGATAGAGCCAGCAGGAAAACACACCGACTGTAAATGGGCCGAAGTGCACCCATGGCTGCATGTAGGTCATCGAAAGCATCGCCGTTGTGAAACTAAAAAAAACAAGTGGCAGAGTCAATTTCACCAAATTCGTCGTTAGAAGCAATTGTTCGGAAGAGCTTAATTATCAGATCGGTCAGACCTTTGAAATTTACTACTTACACAGTTTATTTAGTGTTCATTTGCATCTCCGTCTGACCAGGTCAGTTTGTTCAATTTCTCAGTGGAACCAAATCATGTGACCGAAAAATTGTTCAAGAGTCAACACGATCTTCGTCACTACTGGCTCAGCTGTAGGTAAGACAGTGAAGATAGTATAGGAGCTAAAACCGATGAAAAACATTTGACAGCAGTATTTTGCTGATACTGGTTTTAGCGCTTTTTTGCTGAATATCACTATCTAATCACGGACACCAGCTTCTAAACGATCGTAAGAAGCGGTGACGATGAACTGAGGGTTTCTTTATTGCGCTAAGATTTGACCCGGTAGCCTCAAGAGCCCTCTGTACAGATAGGGGTCAATTGCACTATTGCCATAAATCGCCTGTTTGAAGGGGGAATACGGTAAAGGGAATAACCCACATGAACGCCGTTAATGTAAGTGCCATTGTCAACACACTGATCATATGCAACTAATTCTTTTCACGGTAAGAAAAAGTTATCTCTGAACAAGATTGGCACTGGCAATGTACAAAGGGTATTTCGCAACAATCCTCGACGTAAAGGGGACAGTTGAACTCTCGGGCAGGCCTCAACAAACACAACTCATAGGATTTAGTGGTATTTAAAAAAGGGATCTCACTGCCGGCATTCGAAACACGGCGAAGCCGAAATAATAGATATCGACTTCGTTTATCGAAGTGAGTCATATTATTGGAAATTAACGAAGTAAAGGTCCTAGACAGAAAGAAGACTTGCAACTGACTCTTACAGTATAACATATCTGACATGTCCCTGTGATCGCGCGTTTCGAACGTCGTTGCTTGTCAAACTTAAAAGGTACGTAAAATAGCGTGGATATGAAAGCACTTTGATTTCTTGCTGTGCGGGCTTGGCCTTCGGAAGCAATGCTCAAGTAGAATAGTAGCGTGCGAAGAGCAAAAATATTTATTTATAAAGGTTTGCTAAAATGTTTTTTCATGCTAGGCTTCACGCTGTCTCGGATTACGAACGTTCGAGCCTATCGACGACCGGTTCAAAGCAGAAGTCTGAAAGCGGATATATTGTCTTTGTGTATTTCCTTTCCAAACAACGACGAAGGACTATGAAAAAGCCAATTACATTATTCCAATAGGTATTAATTGATAGTTCCCAAAACACGGTACCTACTTGGGGCGAACTCGAAAGGTGAATACCAACCCAAAAAATTAATAAATCTGTGTGAATGTTTTCACTCTATTCCCTAACAATAACAACGTATTTGAATATTCTACTGGTTGTGGGTATTTGATGCCCAATAATAGTACGATTTGAATTTCGACTCACACTTAGTTAAAAGGGTTAATAAGCTTTGCTTAATTCCTAACCTAAGCGCAATCCCTAGCCAAACGTGGCATTGTAGTCCATGTTTAATGGTGAAAAGCTGCTTGTTTTTTTTATCTATGTATCTTTACGTTATGATATTCATTTGAAGGCTACCTTACAACACATCTTTTCTCTTTTAGATTATTCTGGTTGTATGAAAATTATTTTTATTCAAATGATACAGGTGGACAACGTCTTTAGTCATGCTTTAAAATTATATTAAGAAAAAAAATATATCGTAGACAAGTTGGCCTCCTGACCATGTAGTAACCATTCAACGTTGTCATGTAAACTGAATTTCCCGGGTGTCACAGTTTCAAAACACAGCACGCTACTGAAGTGCTGGCGTGCCGCTAGGCCTGGGGATGCCAAAAAAGCGGCAAGGAATAGTTATGACATAATTTATTCACTTAGTGCCCTGCGCTGGGAAAAAAACTCATCCTGTAGTTCCGCTCTAATGGTTACCGCCGTACGGGCTGCTTATAGACAGACCATTGCTTTGATATATGGAAGTGCAGTAGTTTCACAGGAACGCTAAAGTGAGTGTCGGGCAACGGGATCGGTTTAATTTCGACAATTTGAGCAAATTATGCTAATTTGATCAGCGGCAAACTTGAAACATTCAAATTCCATTAGCGTCGCCATCGTAAACACCACTCGCTAGCATCAAAACGAAGGCTATATATGTTACAGAATTAGTTCAAAGCCATACTGTTTTTCTATGATAAATAGCAGATCATTAAATATGCATTAGATGCACATAAAAAACCGACGCGCCCAGCCTGAATATATAACTAGTGCAGATGTTGTGTAATTTGTATTGAAACGTGTTTCTCTACTCTGGTTAAGGCAAAATTTCTTGAAGGCAATATCTCAACAACGGAATATGACCTACTATATAGTAACGATTAATTTTTAATATAAATAAAATAAAAATAAAATATTTAACGAATATGAAATGGTAGCTGTACACTGCGGGTGTATACATGTACAGTTCTGGTTCACACAAATTGACTCGTGTATATATTGCCTCAAAGAAAGTTAAGTAAAACAACAAAAACTTACGTCAGATCTCCAGCGACGTAGAGCGCCGTTGGGTGATACTCATTGACGAAATTCTGGACAACCAAAATTATTATGCCGACTAATGAGATGGCAGCCATAGCCACGAAGCCTCGACGATAGGTTCTGCTTGAGAGACGGTGTGATTATACAACCGAACGAATATATGCATAGAAAAATTAGCCGCATCTACACCACTAACGGTAAACGTTCTTGAGCCACCTCAAAGAACTAAAGAGATGGTTTAACAAATAAGTAACTTGTTGGGTTTAACATGTTGTTGAAGGGCATTACTCTCTATGGAACAATTCATGCGAGAACATCTAAAATTTTATGGAACGACTTGTGCGCGAACATAGCATGGAAGTGATAGTAATAGATTTTTGTCCTGTCTATGTCTGATTTATACATTAATACAACTAAACGCTTTCCTTCTGGGTATAACTCCTACCTAAGTCTTACTTCAGTGAAGAAGTATCCATGTAAACTTTTGCCTATGGAACAATTCGTGTTTTCTAATGCTCTGTTATAGAATTACCGGTTCCTCACAGATTTCCTCTCGACACCTCCGTGCATCTATTCTTACATTTGAAGATTCATAAAACATAGTGGATTTACTGCACGAGCTGCGGACATGCATGTTCGCTAATAAAGCTCATTTCCACTGATTCAAGCATTAACAATGTTACATCACGACGAATTAGCGCATATAAAATGTTGTATGATTGATTAGTTACTGGGTGTTGGATTGGGTAGTAACGTATACGTATACTTTTTTTTTATTTGACTGTCGTGTCATATACGTCATTAGCGAAACGTGAAATAACGACCCCTGGTTATCTCAAGCACAGGGCCAACCTTATTTGCCCCTGCGCCGATTAAGTATACTGCACAGTCAGAGTTAAATAGAGTATGAAATTAATCTATTGATTCCATCAGTTGCAAAAATAAGACGTACCCCTCTGATCTGAACGTGTAAAGAACGAGCCCGACGAAGATCAGATATAGCTGCGTATCCACAGAGATGTACCAGAAAGGAACCATACACTAGAATTCACATGAAAATTAGAACCACAGTGTAAAAAGCTGTCAGACAACTAAAGAATGCCATTTTCCTTAAACGAAGTAGGCACAGATGTGTATCTAGTAAATACGTTTATCTATTTTCAACCTTCATTTAGCTGCTTAAATGCATTTTGGACGACTCACCAGCTCATCATGATGTAGAACATTTTGGAAGTTCAGCATAAGCAATAACCAATGATCACGGCATTTCTGAAGCTCCTTACCAATGAACTCTTGCCATATTGGCCCGTCTCCTACCTAGAAAACGGATATGACAATTAACCTATGTTCTGTATACGATTAGTGTTTATGAAATCATACCATAATTAGTCCGTGGAACCTGCTTTTTTGAGGCTTTTGTTACCGCAATATTTAAATGCGTTATGCATTTATAGGATTACTTACCGCTCTAGATAAGTAAATGCGTTTATAGAAAAAAATGAGCATCTAAGGTACAACTACAAGTTGATTAGCTTTACGGAAAGGTCTGTTTTACCGGACAGGTATCAACGTATTATGCCTTCAGCGCTTTTCAAAGCTCCAACAATTATTAAACTGCGGAAGGCTTAATAGGCACCTGTTGTCCGGTCAGGCAACTATTAGAAACATCGAAAAAAAGCTGTATAAACTTGAGATACAATCAGCGCTCTAAGGCTTGGTGATAATGTAGAATATACTCTCGAAATGACAGCAGTTGCTGATTTTCAATGTGGTAATAAAATATGTGGTCTCACTTACTTTTGCAATGAGGAACAAAGTTGCAATCGCTACACAGGCCATCGGAATGAGTCGCCACCAGCGAAGTAGATAAAAGAGTGTAATCTGAAAATTCAGAAAAAAAAATGCCTAAATGCTACTACCAGATCTCTTGTATTGGAACTTTAGTAGAAAAATTTTCACATAAGGATACTTGCTGAGGCCTCCACGTGTATATAATCAGTTGTGAATCAGTTTGTACTTCTCCCTCCGGAACATGAAACCTTTACTTGTAGCCTAATTACACTCACACTATTGGTACAGACAATTAAATTGCATGTATATTAAGCTATAGCTGAGTTATATGCTGTTTAATTATCTACTCCGTAGTAATCGTTGGCTCCTTAATTCTTTGTAAGTATCGGGTAGTTATGTATGTATAGAGTATTTCAATGAATCCCTCATTGCTTCATCGAACAGCATACTAGTATAATTCCGTATCAGACATATTTGGAAATTATATATACATCTTGTAACGGTTACCAGGGCCTCATTTTTATTTCTTTTTTTTTAAAGTAAAAACATTTTCGCTCCTAAATCTATAATAAAATTCATCAGTATTGTGACACGTACACCAAAAGCTAACAACGCTGACCAACCGCCAATTCGAAAGTACATACATATCTCCTATATATATATATATATATATATATATTTACACCATGCAGGAGACAATGAACCTATTACTTTTCCAACAAATGCAAAATCATGAGTGACTTTTACAGAATCAGTTGAGATCTATCTGAGAGACAGGAAAAATCATGATAAATGCAAAGTTGTTCACTCTAATAAACCCGGGTGGATTTAGCACGGTGTTATGCCATATATATAAAGTCAGCCTTCCATTTTTGTGTTAAGGTCGCCTTTAATTACTATTGTAAATACAGCAGATGATGGTGATCTCGCTAAAAGATTAGAAGCGTATTGTCTCCTAACATAAAGCGTTTAAATTAAGGACACATACTTTCCAATTTATTTTTACCAGTTTATCATATGTATATATGTTGCATCGAACGAATGAGACACGAATTTTCACGAACGAAGCAGACGTTTTCGTGATGTGGGAAAAAGAAAAGACCTTAGCTGTCTTGTTTACGTTCGCGTGACCACAAGATGTAGCTGAGCGGAAATCCTTCGATAGAAAAAAAAAGCAGATGACAACGGACAAATATAGGCTAAGAGTCTAGAAGCAGGGGCAAACGCAAAAAGGAATATTCATTCATCGCAGATGTTAGCAGAGATTAGCATTGCGTATAACTGCTTTTGTGACCACTTGCCTATTACTAATCACTCTTCGCGCATTCTGAATAATTTTATGCGCAAGATAACGTGAGTAATAATTTTGCTGTGTCTAGTTTCATTGTACCCGGGCTTCGATAGAGCACCTATTGAACACCTACACAATACCGAAAAACTGCCAGTACGAGAGCTTAAATATACTCTGTGTCACGCAACGTTAAATAGAGGTGTCGATGCATTATTTGACATGCGTAGATGCTGATGAGGCTTGGTAGGCATATAGAAATTTGTAGATAAGTGGAGCTGAAAACAATCTTAGGGGCCAGTGATCGACTTGGCGCTTATGTCCGACGCGGGGACATGATGCTTAATAACTGTAGTTCTTAGCTTCTATTTTTAAACGGACCAGCTGGCAAAAAGAAGGACACTTAAAACTTCTTTTCCCTTGAGTTGTCAACGTATACTTTTCACAACCGTAAATGTCAAATGCCCGCCTACACCACTACAGTTTAATTGTGAACAAATAGCGCCACATACCATCATCACTGCAATAATGATAAAGGACATTAATGACTATGTTACCTTTTGTGTGTGGGTAGCGGAAAAAAAAAACCAAAGAGGAAGATTGGCGTACATTTAAAAAAACTTTTTGATTGATTGCTTAGATCAGATGGCTGTGGATATTAAATTAGCCATAAGCCGGCCAGCTAAAGTTCACATCAGTAAAACGAACACAAAGGAAAGCCTTGAGATAAACGATCTTTCCAAGATGCTGTTGTGTAGTTACCGAAATAGTATGTAAATAGCCAACTTGGACATTAGGAGATCATTAGATTGCCGTGACAGCGAACCAACAAGATACACGGGTGCTTAACTTAAACATTCGCTAAATCGCCAATGCCTGATTACAGTCTCTTACAAACCCCTATTATCTATGTATTTATCTAAATGAAAGAAAGTAAAAAGCAGTAAAAAGAGACATATAGTTCAGTGCTTGTGCGTACCGCAAATCAAGCTGAGATAACAGAGATTAATCAGCGCTTACAATCGTCTTACCATTTACAGCTGCTGGTTTCCATCCATACTCTTTATAGCTAACCGCAATGTAGTCTATGAGATAGACGAATCGGTCAACAAAGAAAGGCAACACCGGCTACGCTGTTGAAATGACATGAGTTGCGACTCCGCTATATTACTATTAATACAATAGACTGCAGTTTGAGTATATTGGAGTCCTTATGGAGTAAATGTACTCCTGCAGGTGGCAGCTATTAATACACAGTAGTAGATTAGCGGAAGATTAGGCGGTCTCAACGGCATCTGCAGCATGGCCAGCAAATCGAAGGAAACCCCAGGGCAAACAATTGACGGCTAGCGGTAAATGGCGAATTAAACAAAAGCATTGGGGAATAGAGACCACTGGGTAGAACAGATGGCACCGAAACAACCGGGAACTAGAAAAATAATGCTAAAGCTGTTTTAAGTTGTAAGAAAGTTCGCATCATCGTCGCCGATCCGGTCATTCCAATAATTTCTGTTGGCCTCGGGCTAGAAGATTTGTACTGCTTGAAAGCTGCTAAGTTATGATAAGGTGATAGCGGTTGAGGTGAGACTGCTATTGACGATTATTGTGTGAAGATGTTTAGATATGTATGGTCGCGTTCGGCAGACTGTAAATAACAATGACACGCCAAAACGTCGACAATGACCCATTTCAAGTTAATTCGTAAAAAAAAGACGAAAAAGTCGATAAAACGGAGAGAAAAAAAATCTATAAAATTGACGTTGTTTATCGAACACATAGATATTCCACCGAATAACGTTTACATATAGAAGCTTTGATGAGAACCAAATGTGATGGATGATGGAAGAGCACTAGAGACTCTGTTTCACATGGACGTTGTTTAAGTGCTGCTATTTTAGTGTTAACATATGCAGAAAAAAGGATATATTATATCTATGTACTAGAAGCGATAACGAGGAAGACCTCGAAAAGATAAAAGTAAATGACTTTTAGATACGATTTAATCTAAATGAATATTTCCAGTTTTATGTCCGACATTTGCATTAAGCGTTGCTTCAGCGTGAGATTAATGTTCTACCCGGTTTACAACGTAAACCATACAGCTGACCGCTGCATCATTATAAAGACATGTTCGACTGACCTTAACAGGCGGCTGCAGTTTCTAGGTTACCTAGGGATTCCTAAAAGGTTTGTTGCGTTAAACCAAACCAGCAAATTTTACCTAGAACATTTTCTATGGCGCAGACCTTAACAGCGGTGACCGCTAGAAAACAACAAAGGCTACAAGAAAAATGTCAGGATCCTTTTAAAATATATGTGTTAAGGCCGAGCAGTGGCGTTTTAGGACCGATAGCGGTGAATTAAAATAGGCCACGATGAAACACGATAGCTTTCATGGTGCCGTAAGCTATTTGCACAATCACGACTATGGCAAGTGTAAATAGAAGATCCGGTACGTTTTAGATATTTTTGTTTGTTACATATGGGGTCACAAGAACCGTGTTAAAAGCGTCACGTCTTTACAAGCCTTTTTGAACTTTTATTACTATTACTTAAATTGATGTTTTTACGTTAATGAGCCTTATTATTTAAAATATGCATAGTTCCTTCAAAGTCATCTGTGCCGTCGCAGATGACGAGATATTACCAAGAGTGTTGACCGTTCTATGTTTCGCCACAAACCTAAATTGAAATCAACCATTTTCTAATTATGGTTATAAAATCACTTCGCTATCGTATTCCCCGTTTTACCGACCACTTGTCCGATGTTGAAATATCGGACGCTGGCTGATCAAGCAGTCCGATCGAACATTTATTTCGTTGAGCAGCACATCTGTGTATCTTATGCTTATCAAGATGCCGATCTATCTCAGCCACTCCAATGCTATTAAACTTATTTGAAATGTCAGCTTTTGGTCGCCGAAACCAAATGACCTTTTAGCGTTGTTAATCCATTATTACTATTAATGAGACGTCCCTGCTATATTCTTTTTCTTCACCCACAACCAAACTTCGCAGTGCGAGTCGCGCGTAGTTTTCGGGATTTTTCCACATATTTCTTGTAATAAATCAGACGTACACGTAAATTTAAAGCACGTATCCCATAAGCCAACGCATACAAAGCAAGAAAACGATCGCATCATATAAAGGGGAAAACTGTTTTATCGACGTAATATTTTACCTCGAAATGCATATATCCGGCTACTCGATGCACGACACACTGAGGTATAGCTGAATTTTTTGTTTGTCCTTTCGATCCGTGTCCTATCTACGTACATACGGTGGCTTCTATCGAAGCGGATCCAGCCAGCAAGAATTTGTTCGTCGTTGATGCATTCCATTGATGACTAGAAACAGTCTAGCTTAAGTATCTTCATTTTTCATTCTATACACACGCATTGCACGCTGAAAAAGCCATGTACGCCTGTAAAACTGACAGCGATCCGTAGGGTCGTCAAGCCGTGGTAGAGTGACAAGGAGCAAAGTTTCCCCATTGCTGATACGCTCCCTGTGATGAAAAGCGCAAAAAAATAAAGAAATTCATTTAAAATCACTTACAGACGGTCAATCGTGAGCAATAAGTAATTGCTTACGTAATGGATCCGCACAAACAATAGCCTCGGTCACATCGAACTACGTCGAGGTGTCTTCTGCGCAGTGGACATAACAAGCTGTGCGTCGTGTGCACACCTAGAACACTATGATAAAGCCGCGTAATCGTATCCACGCTGATGATTTATAACGGTCACAGAAATAGTTACAAAGTTATAAACGGTACCTATTGTTTACGAGAAGACCCATT